ATAGCTTTGTTCGATTGCGAAATCAATCGGAAGTTCTTAACATGCAATTGTTTATTGATTATTATCTTTTCTTTTCTCAAAACGAATTTACAAGTATAATTGCCGTAGTCTGACCATTCAATTACCGGTATTTTAAGCATAGACAAAAACATATCATTTTGCTTGTATGTTTCAATCTGCTTAGTTCTTCCTTCTCGTTCATTGATATGCGTGTCATTATGATACCAGGTAGTATAAATATCTGAGTCAGCATATTCTAGTGGGTACCGAAATCTTGATATAAAAACAACATCTTCACCAATACTTCTATGTGATATGTTTTTATAAAATTCACTTGTAATGCCACCATTATACATGTACATGTAATTATAGTGTAAATCTGTATAATGTAATGTAAAACCCAGATATTCGCCCAATGTGAATATAACAATCAAAATCGATATACTATTTAATGATAATATTAATATATAATAGACAAATCTATGAAACCCGTAAAACTTCTTGTATACAAAATGATAATTTAACAGGCCTATATTAACCAAAAGAATAACTTGATATTTCATAATGTCATAAAAATTTTTGTAATCAAACAGTGCCACACAAATCATTCTTATTTCTTCATAATACTTTATAACGTTGTCGTGGTGATCATCTAAATGTGTATATTCCATAAAAATTCCAAATATATAGAACAAGCAAATCGCCGGCAAATGCGCAAAAACTGTTTGTTTCACACGCAAGATACAAATATATATATAATCATCACCTATATGTTGATAATTTGTAATAATATTAGTTCCTGATAATTCAGCGAGCCTTAGCTTACTGTTTTCTTTAATAATAAAACAATGAATTAAGATATCAAATATAATCAGCCAACACAAAATTGCGACAAAAAATATTGTCCCTGATAATGTTATTATGTGAGCAATATATGAAAAGTATTCACTAGTACGGAATAACAGTATTATTCCACTAAAGAACATGAACCCTTTAAACAACTCACTCACTGTAAAAATCTCAAGCATGTTTGCATGCAACGTTGATAAACTGTCAATACTTTGTATGTTATTCCAGGAGGTAGGGAAAACATAAACAAAAATAAAATAGGAGACGAATACTTCCAGATTGCTTTCACCTAAGTGTTGAATAGTCATTAGCGATAGGACAAATATTATTAACATAAACATCACGATCCATAGTAACCACCCAAGTATTCTATTTTCCACAAATTGTGTAAATCTATTGACAGTCACATTAAAGATTTCAAGAAATATTATCAGATTAGTCATGTTGCACAATGTTTGAACATCAAATATTTCCTGTAACGCAACAATTGTCATAAGTAACAAACGTATCCGTATTAAAATATGCCTTCTTAAAACTTTCATTGTTCCTGTTTTGTGTGTTTTCCTCCTGTAGAAATTTGAATTTAAAGTAAAATTGTTCAATGATTATTTTCAATATCAAGATTGAACGACGGTAATTTGATATTTAATGATAGCTGTCAATGTTAATTAACTGTGTACTAAAGCATACATTCTTTCTTTTGTGCAAGATCAATAAATAAATCATTCATCGATCAATATACACACACACACACACACACACACCAAGATATATATATAAACCCTTTTATACGAGATAGTGCAAAAAATAATGATCTTCACACAAAGTTAACAAACACAAAAGAAATTATAATAGATTAATATTTCAGGGTTACATTTAATGTTTGTCAACTATATATATACACAGACATGTACATGTATAAATAGATAGAGCAAACTCTTTCATATCCATTGTAATGACTTTAAATGTGGGACCAGTATAAACTTCTGTGACATGGGGTGGTATAAAATATTAACACATGGTATAACTTATGCAAAATAAAATTCTGATTTTCCAAAAGATTATTTAGACTCAGAATGTTTTGTCTCCCATTGTAGTATGTTTTAGGCATTCTGAACCTCTGTTCTTGTTGAATAAAAAATTGGAAGAAGAAAAAAACATTATCCTCCCCCTTTAAAAAAAATAGAATTTGACATTGTGATCTAGTTTTGATCCAAGGTCACCAAAATCTATTTCTAACTATCAATAAAATGCAAATTTGAAACAAAAATTGATGGACAATAAAAGAAGACTGACCAAGACTTTCCTTTAATTATTTCATAGCTAAGAACCTTAAACAAATGTGTATTGAATCTATATCCTGCAGATCTTTGACCATTTACAAATATACAAAGATATCCAACTTATCACAAATATATTGATGACGTTCTACTTAAATAGTTCAGACATGTTAATGATTTAGTACTACATCTACATTCCTGACATTTCTCTCTGATTAGCACAAAATCGAAGAAAATCTATTAAACATTATCTTTATCAGAATATCATGTAATTTTTACTTCCAGCATAAATTAGCTTAATGATTTCACATCAACTAGTAAAGTCATTTAGCATCACCTTATTCTAATTTGTCACTATTTAATATGTTTTAGTGTAAACTAAAATAACAGTATGCACTAAGTAATATTAGTCTCGGAAGTGTATATATTTTTCCTTCTATGGAAAGGCTAAAATGTGTTATAGTGTTGTTATGATGGCTTTACAACATGTGCGATAGTTATAACCACTAGGGAATAGATCTCGAGTAGAATATAAATTAATTTGTAACATAAGTAGCAAAGTGTAAAAAAGTGGTATAAGTCTTCATACAAAATAATAAATCCCTGTAAGTGTACTTATCGCCATAACGCCTAAATAGAGTAAAATTTTGAAAAATGTAACAATACACAAAATATAAAAGGTTTTGAAAATTTAATATGGAAGCATTGTTAAACTTTCATAATAATGGTCCGGGGTAATTGTCAAGACTTTACAGATATCTTGATAGCTTCATCATAATTATGAAAACCCACGCCGGACTTTAATTACTACTATATAATTGCGCTAAAGAACACATTGTCTCTGAATGATGGAGTATGATAATATAACAATATGTAAAAGGATAATATTGTACTTCTATTGGACATTTTGATATATTGCACCTAAGTGAAGTTACAGTATTTTTCCGTTCAACTCTCGATTTGTCCTTGTTACTTACTTCCCCAATATGGAATTTCCAAAGCTTTGTAGTTTTACAATATGATGATATACGACAAGTATTTGTACAGCCAAATAAAAATGCAAAAGTTATAATAAAAACTGATACCCTACATCTTTTGTCTATAAAATAAAAATAACAGCAAATATTGAATACTATATCAGCGTGTCAGATTGTTGGGTTGTTTTAACTTTTAAGTGAATTGTTCATGTGTTTATAGGTGAAATATTTGTAAACATGTTGTTGTTGTTTATTCAAATCATCACGTTATGTGTGCCCTTAGTCAGATTCAGAAAAACAAAGACATATTTCAATGATTACAATTTTATATTTATATTTGATGTTTTTTGTTGTTGTTGTTGTTGTTTATTAATTCGCACTAACACAGTTTAGATCATATGACGTCGAAATAGGAAAGATGTTATAGTTGTTTTTGTGCTGCGAAAACAAGGAACAAAATTAAACTTATCATGGGGATACACTACATCTCTTTCCTGGTGCGTGGTAGTTGTATACATATAAATATTCTTTAAGTAGATATAAGTCAGTTTTGTATTATTATTAAAATGTATTATAATTATTTATCAATCAATTTATTTGTTGTTATTAAGATATTAATTTGACTCAGTTAAGACATTAATCTGACATAATAAAGAAAATTCAAAAATATGATTTCCAAAAGTAAAAAATTTGATGATCGCTTTCTATCAACATTATACTAATTTATTTAAGTTCGTTTGTGTAGGAATTAAGCTTTGGGCCTATTAAAACACTCGAATCTGTTCCTGGAACCAATTAATCTGTACTAATTAAGCAATGACTGTAAAGTTTCTTGCTCACGAGAACAAAGGCTATCAACATTTAATCCCTCAGTTTTGTCCAGATGGCCTTTCCTGGTAAATACCTCATATCTATTTTTGTACTGCTACTAAATAATATAATCTGACAAAAAATATTTATTGGACAATTACTTTCAAGTCATACATTTACCTAGATTCATTAGATTGTAATATTCTTAAAAAAAATTAACAACAAACATTTATTTTACTAATTTTTGTACCTCTAAAAGAATTCTTTTTGTAGAAAATGAAGTTTTTATTCTTCAATTTTATTGATAGTATTTAATTTTACTTTTAGTTAACTTTAATAATTTTATCCAAATTTAGTGTAAATGTTACTCCTAAGTGTTTAAAAGAGTTTTCCCCATTTAAAGTTTAGTTCGGGACAAAGTCCATCGAGGTTCCTTTTAGTCATAACTAGACTGTAAAATATGTAAGAATTTCAAATTTCATACTTTTAAACTTGTAATTGACCTCAGTTAGGTTCTTTTAATGATATTCCTTGTAACTTTAAATAATCTTACTAACGATCATCAATAGAAAGTTTTATAAAGAATGATCAAAGATTAATTTTAAGGATGTAATTAAGATATTTGTGAAGCTTTACTTTAGTGTTTTATTGTTGTTTTTATCTGTGTGTGTGTGTGTGTGTGTGAGTGCGTGCGTGCGCGTGTGTTTGTGTCATTTTTGTTTTGTTTTATTTTGTTCGCGTTATATCTAAGAAGAACGACACATCATTATAGTTGTAGGGAAAAGACCTGCCTCTCGAAACTAACTAGATCTGTGAAGTTATAAACTTTAAAACTAAAAAAAAAACAAAGAGTGGTGATTATATTTGTTTATATTTTCATACTGAACCGGATAGACCAAAAGATAAAAGTATTAGGTGAACTGTCTTTATTGTACGTCAATGGAGGTTAAAAAGTACAAGATATGTCGTATCTAGTACATTTTTTGTTTCTTAATAATACCATTTTATCAATCATCTTTTATTTTTATTTTTTTTCCTTATTACGTGTATTTTGTTTACTTTCTTGGACCGGAAGTAAATTAGAAACATGAGTTTAGTCCATCCCTAAACTTAATTAGAGGGTATATAAATGTTATGAGCGGCACAACACACCTAAGTCCCTCACGGAATCAGACTTTTTGAATAGGAAAAAAGAGTGCAACAGAAAAGATGGTTAATGAAAAGTCGTTTCTATGTGAGTAATCTTATATAATTATAAATTTATTTTGATGAACTTTGTTAAAACTTTGTTAAGCATTGTACAATATTGAATTTATATTTAATCAAGTTCTTTGTGTATGTCGCGCATCTCTTATATTTTTGTCAGCAAATGTTCCGTACTGTATGTATGATAGTTAACGATTGACTTTAATACATTGACTGAGTTGAGTCAAATAATACATTGACTAGGGTGCGTAAAATAATACATTGACTGAGATGAGTAAAAATACCTTGACTGAAATGAGTTAAAATACATTGACTGAATGGAGCTAAGAATACATCGACTAAAGTGAGTAAATCAATACATTGACTGAAATGAGTTAAAATACATTTACTGAATTTAGTAAAGAAATATGTATTGAAAATTAGTAACATGTTTCAGTGACTGGAATAGGTAAAATAATACATCGATTGAAAAAAAAGTACATTGACTTAAATTAGATAAATAATACATTGACTAAAATAAGTAAAAATGATATTGACTAAACGAGTAAAATAATACGCTGACAGAAAGAAGTAGAAACATGAACATTTTCTCATTATTTTCAGACCTATGGGTAATAGTGTTCCTTGCACTGCTGGGGAAATCAAGTAAGTCGTTGTTGACTTGTTTGTTTGTTCGTTTGTTTGTTTTTCTGTCTGTCTGTATGTATGTCTGTCTTTTTGTTCGTTCGTTCGTTTGTTTCTTAATTATGTTAAGGATTAAACATAGTTTGTTATGCAAACAAACTATATACCCTCTAACTAATGTGTATGAAAGTAATCGGGACATTTGCCTATCAGTTAATTAAGCTTTACAACTTTATAAGAAACAAGTCAAATCAAATTTCATCAAATTGGTAAAATTCTTAGAAAATGAGTTCAATGTTTGCAACTATTGATAAATGTACATGTACAACATATTTTACTTATGTTGAAGTGTGTTTCTACCAATATTTCCATCCATTACGGATGTACGCGTTTCATCCACATTCAGATATAGATTGTTTTTGGTAAACTTACATTTTGATCTAATTTTTGCTGCGAACTTATCAAAATATAGCTCACAGTTTTATTTCGAGGAAATAATGAAAATATCATATTTACTTAAGACATTTATCTGGCATGTTTTATAGTTTCTCTATCTTACTTACCTTCGATAATTTCTTTGTAGTTTGTAATGTGTTAAATTAATATTTGAGACTTAGCTAAATCTGTTACTACGATCTTAATTACTGGCAAATCCGACTAATGAAAAATTGCGTATCGTTGTAATGGTATTCTAAAGGCATGACTTCAAACACATTCTATGGCACATTGATCTTGAATGAATACAAAACAAAATTAACTCGTACCCTAGCTAAAGCAACAAGGGGATATTGTTGAATCACAATGTTAGAAAATCGGTGGCGATACGGGTAGATCTGTGATAAGTTATCCAAAACTATATCTTATGTCGTTTGATTATGATTAAATCTATATATATTGCCAATATTTTGCAGCTCAAAATTGCCCGACCACCGTTGCGTTTCATGCCAATAGTTTATCCAACACACAGCTACTGCCAGGGAACAAACTTGTATTCAGGGTGATTAAGGTGAACCAAGGTGGAGCATACAACAGCCGTTCCGGTATCTTTGTTGCTCCACAAAATGGAACATACTCCTTTAACGCACATCTGTGTTTGGTTGCTGGTAACGCTCTTGGATTTGATGTCATGGTTGGGTCTTCAGTCTACTCGTCGACATATGCTAGAGGTTATACTGGTTGCGGGTGTTCATCTGTGCCGGCTATTGCAGTTCTTAAGCAGAACGACCAGGTCTATCTACGATGGAAGACGTATTCGCACACAAGTAGTTCCGTCATCTGTCAAAGTATTCCTCAAAGTACCTTTACTGGAATGCTGATTAACTGATGCTTTTATAAATGTATATGATATACCCTGTTTTCTGTGACTTTTCATTGTAAAATTTGGAATATTTTACTATTTTATCTTATATCTAAATAAAACATTTCTTCTTCTATTTGCACAATCAATCGTCTTTACATTTACATCCTTAAGGGTATAACGTTAGTACATGAATGATATTAGCAAAAAAAAAGACAATAATTTTACACATGGTGAGTTAAGAGAAAAAATAATGAGAAAAAATTTATTTCTTTTAATAAACTTATTACATAAACTTGATAAACATGTATCTCTTTTGAAATCAAAGCAATCTTAGACAACAAATGCACAAATTCATTGAATTTCATTAAAAAGGATGTATAAAAATATTTCAATAATTGTTAAATCACCATGTTGTAGTAGCTTTCTACACGTACATCAACCTTAGAACGAAGAATAATTTTTGTACATGTCTGTTCTGTTATAGTTTCAGTTGGTCTGTTGTAATATTCTTTAAGAAATCTGTTTTACACATGCTTAAATTAAGAAGATTAAGTTTCAGTGTTTAAGGATAAGAAGAACTTTTGAATTGCCAATGTAATCAACTTATCATATTATTCAAGAAAATGCTCTTATATACATGTAATGCGCCATGTACATGCAATTCTATCAATAAAGAAATCTATCATGCACGAAATGTGTCCTTATTCTTCATTATAAATATGTAATAATGTACAAGCAGTATATGATGCAGTTGAACTCGGGGTTCCCTGAATACTTCCACCTCATTTTCATTTTAGCCGTGTACACGTGTGTTCAAGCCATACAACCACGAGGGATTAAATTTAGTACTTTACGACCTTGGATAATCTTTGACGGTGTTCAGCCTATTTCTGTACGCGGTAAGGGGAAATCACTGCGTGTGGGAAGATTGGCCAAACTAAAACAAACAGTTAGTATTGAACAATTTAAAATGAAGAATTTGTTGCACTGCATTTTAGCTGGGCTGTCGATAAATATAAAATAGTGTAGTTCACATAGTGTGGAACTAGCTCAAATACGCGCGAAACACTGCATCTCAGGATTATTAGTCTAACGATTCGTCCCACTGTCGATTCGAACCATAACGACTCGCCCATTTTATATTCATTTAAATTGGCAATGGCTACTTTTTTTTAATTAAATGTCACTGTTTAATATACTTAATTCTTTTAATGATTGTTAAATATTTTATTAATGTTACCTGCAGAGATATCTGTATAAAATTTAAACTTTGGAAATATCCAGCTCCTAAAGATACGTCTTTTTTTATTTTCTTCATAGAATATATAAACTCCTAACAAGGCTTTAAAATTTTTAATTTGAGGTCTTCAGGGTACCTGTTTATTTATTGTGACATTACATAAATGCAGCATCAGATGAAGAAACAAAATGTTAAACAGTTAAAAAGAGACTTATAAAGTTTGGGAAGCCAGAACTACAGGTGTTTTTTCAGTCACTCTGAGTGATGCAGGAGTTACAGTCCTAATTAATGTACGCTTTTTTAATTCTCTTCGTAAGAGATTGAGCTGCTACCTTAGTAATTGTATGGTACTTTTTTACATAGGACTAGGAGATATAAACTCCTAATTATTATTATTCTTTCTCAAAAATATTACAAAGTTACAAAGACCTAATTAAGATTTTTTTCCTCCTAATAGGAGTTATAAAACATCTTATTACATATAGGCTTTTTATCACACACCCGTGCCGATTTTGCGACTCCGTAATTATGGTATTGCACGGCCGTGCATATATTTTGACGTGACGTCATTAGCGTTATACAAACATAGTGTAAAGACGCGCTAAATGTTAGCGTTATACTATAGGCGCGTCAATGAAAATGACTCTTATTTCACTTTAAACGGTCTTTATTTTGGGTATGTGATAAATAGAATATCAAATTCGTGTAAGTTCATTACTGAATTTATTGCACTCGTTGAATAAAATAATATTATGCTCGCCAGAGGCTCGCATAATATAATTTTATTCAACTCGTGCAATAAATTCAGTATTGAACTTACACTCATTTAATATCCTCTATTTATCTCATATGTAGGAATTATTCTCTGTTATAGAACATTTTGATTGACCAGACTTCCCGAAAGTTAAAAAAAGTGTCAGACATTCGTTCTGACAAACCATGAAAATCTGTCGGACCGAAACGAAATCTGTCAGACCAAATAAAATTAATCAAAATCAAAGGAAAACTTTGTGTTTGTATTTCTAAGACACTTTCAGTTTTAATTTTTTGCCGTAAAAATAGGCACAGTCCGTACAGCCCATTTTAATCTCCTCCCTGTCATACACCAACGGTTCACGGTCCTGCTTCCATTTTTCATTAAATTTTGTCTCAGGTTTATTCTTTTCATCCTTTTACTGTTGTTCTGCGCGCTCCTCTGACATAGATTTTCGTTTTCCCCAGGTTTGGCACCTTTAGCGGCGCCATTTTGTATACATGCGACTTGGATAAAAGCCGGACAGTTGGACCCATCCGGAAAAAAAATTGTCGGACCTAATCAAAATTTATCGGTCATGTCCGTCTGACCGACGTATTTCGGGAAGTCTGACACCAGGACACTTCCGTACCCAAAACCTCTCTCAATATATACAGAGATAATATAATAAGACCATCATCATGACTAAGCCACAATCCAGACACCATTACTCTTGAGATTGTACATTGATCGTCATATGTTTCTGTGATCATTGTATGGGATTTGAGATTTATTTTGTTTATAGGAATTTTATTTTAGAAATGTCCAAGTCTTTTCGTTTCACAGTCATCTTCATTTAACATCCATCATTCATTATATCATCTTTCAGCACAAGTTTTATTGACATCATAATTAGATATTTCTATAACAGTTGAACTATGTCACAAATGTCAAGGTGTGATCACACTTGGATGGAGAAATCATTTGAATATGCTGAGGAAGCTATGAGGAATGGGGAGGTTCCAGTTGGCTGTATTATTGTGTATGAAGATGCTGTAATAGCTAATGGTAGAAATGAAGTCAATGAAACAAAGAATGCAACTAGACATGCAGAAATTGTAGCCATTGACAATGTGTTACAGTGGTGTAGAGAAAAGGGTAAAGATTGGCGAGAAGTGTTCCACAAGTGTTCATTATATGTTACTGTTGAACCATGCATAATGTGTTCCGGTGCTGTCAGGAATGTTGGTATAGGTCGTGTGGTGTATGGTTGTGCCAATGAAAGGTTTGGAGGCTGTGGCTCAGTTTTAAATGTTCATAGAGACAGTCTTCTACAACTAGGACCACAGTTTGAGTGTGTACAAGGGCTGATGTCGGACAGAGCTGTCAACTTGCTGAAAAACTTTTACAAGGGAGAAAATTCTAATGCTCCAGAATCGAAAAGGAAAATAAAGGATATGAAACTTTGATAGCAATATCATTTATTAGTAATACACAGACCATTATTGACTCGTTAAGTGTAATAAGATGATATTTTGTGAATAAATATCAATATTTATTATATTAATGTCTGATTAATGAATTCATGCATGTTAGACATTAATTACAAAAAATTTATTGTTCAGTATCATAATAATGTAAACAGTGTATTTGTGTGTGTATTTGCCACATTAACTGAACCAAATTATATCAATGATGCACATTATAAAAAAATTGGCAGGATAAATTCTGGCGACTAAATATGAAGAAATTCTTTATTTATTTAGATGGATATTTTCATGAGCTAGGTCTAAGATTTTGGAAGGTTAACTTAGTAAGATACTGATGTAATAACAATAATATTCACTGATATATTTCAGACAGTCACACAGTAATCAAACAACAAAGTTACATCATCAATATTCTATAAATAGTATCTTTTATAGGTCACAAACCAGGACATAGCTTTAAAAACATGTAGTGGAAAGAAATGACATTTATATATGTTCACTAAATAAGTTGAGAAAAGAAGAGAAAAAACACTGATTCCAGCAAGGATTGTGAACAGAAATCAACTTTTTTCTTCACTTAAACTGGATATTTTTTTCAGTGTTTTACAAGAAAACTTATGACTGGAAATATAATGATAAAATTAAAGAGAGGATGTTTATTAAGCAGACCCTTAGTAGCAAAAATTTGTAAGAAAAATGTGTCATCTGGCACAGGTCGTAAGAGACTGGTCATTCTGGGGACAGGTTGGGGAAGTTACAGCGTTCTGAAGACAATAGATAAATCCCTGTATGATGTGATAGTTGTGAGTCCTAGAAATCACTTCCTGTTTACTCCACTTCTGTGCAGCACAACTGTCGGGACATTGGAGTTCAGGTATAAGATTCTTAGATAATATAAATTGTCATTAATGATTACATACATGTATTTCATGAAGCAATAAATACTTTGTATTTTATTTGGAAAAAGTAAAAAGTTGTATTGTAAATAGCAGTACTTAACAGATCATGTTAGAATCGCATATACTCAGTTACTGTGTCTGTACCCATTTTAAACTGTATGATTTAAAAAGTTAAATAATTTTTACTATGTTACATGTTATTGCAAGACTCTAACTCTTGTTTTTTGGCATTGGCTTTGTAAACAGTTAAAATTTTGAAATGTAGCTTTATAAAAATTATGACTTTCATACAACATTATTGTAAAAGTTAGTTGTTAACTTGAAATAGTAAAATAGAAATTTATGTATTAATCATTCAATAATTCTTATTAAGATGGAATATAATTATATATAATGATATAACAGCATGTACCTTTTCTTTTTACCATTTAGATCAATAATAGAGCCTGTAAGAAATACAGGTTTCAGACAGACCGACCATTTTCACTTGTCACGAGCCGCAGGAATAGATTTTACAAACCAAATTGTTCACGTGGAAAGTGGTTTAAAACATGACTCCACCTATGATTTATCGTATGATAAACTAGTGATAGGAGTAGGGTCATTGAGTAATACGTTTAATACACCTGGAGTAACTGAACATGCTTTCTTTCTAAAGGTAAACTGACAAATCTTATATTGTTATCATTGTGTACAAATCATGTATCAATCATTTATACAACATTTTGCTTTGTTTCAACAGGTGGCTTATTTTTAGAGACTTCTTTAAACTGCTGAGCTGATTTTTAACATAAGTTTTTGTGTGCAATTTGGTATCTCCAAAACTACTTAATGAATTGGCTGAAACTTTACAAACCTTCCAAACTTACTTGAGAGCATGAATGGGAGGTTGCTGTCCAAGGCCCTTGACTCTAGCATGGATTTTGACCAAATTATGGTTCTTGTTTTACTATCGAGCACTGTTTAGCAAGTTGAGCAAGCTGTCCTATTGATAGCTCTTGTTTTTATTTAATGTACATTTAGACAATGTAAATTTAGAATAGTAAATTGATATTATGTGGAATGTTGTTAGTTAAACTTGATGTATTATATGGATATAAACAATTCATATACATGTACTTTGTAAAGATTTGAAAAGATTTTGAACAAAAAATAAATGTTTGTTTTGACATAATTTAAGTATACAATGTATTAAAATAGAATGTGTGCATTTATTATTGCAGGAAGTTGGTGACGCTCGTCGTATACGGAACAGGATTCTTAGCAACTTTGAATTGGCAACACAGCCGAATACCAGCTCGGATGAAAGTCAGAGGTTACTACATATTGTTATAGTTGGCGGAGGACCTACTGGCGTTGAATTTGGTGCAGAGGTGTATGATTTTGTTGAACAGGTACAAAGAAAGATTATCTACCAACCTTTAGAAAGTCATTGTTAACTCTACAACACAACTTATTTTTAGCCCTTTGGATTGTGTTTACAAATAGACCTTTATAATCTGTGATGATTTTTCATCATTTTAATTGAAGGATACCTTCCATAGCCATAGCCAGACAGATTTATATTAGTCAATACCATATCAATAATACATGTATCAAAAGATTTCTTGTCAAGTTGATCTTATCTTGATAACAAGTTATCATACATTTTAAGTACAAATGTGAAAGTTTCAAGGTTGGTTGTTTAATTTTAAATTCTGAAATTAAAAAGTGAAATTGATAGAGGATATTGAATGAGTGTAGGTTTAATGCTAAATTTATTGAACTACTTGAATAAAATCATATTATGTGAGCCTCTGGTGAGTATAATATTGTTTTAATCAACAAGTTCAATAAATTTAGTATTGAATCTACAAGAATATAATATTCTATTTATCACATATATAAAATAAGAATGATAAACTGTTACGTCATTTTTCATTGACACGAGTATAGTGTAATGCTAACATTAGCATGCTTTAGTTTAATGCTATGTTTATGTATAGCGCAAATGATGTCACATCAAAGTGTTATTACACAAGTTTAATATCGTTTCTATTTAATGGCTTTATTACACTCCTGCACCGTGGTTTATGTGATAATATAATGTAAGTCTTGTTAATTGTAGGATGTAACAAGGTTATACAAAGCTAAGAAGAATGATGTAAGAGTCACTCTGGTTGAGTCAAACCAAATCCTATCCTCATTTGATGATAAACTAAGAAAGTATGCTGAGAAAAAAATAGAAGGGAGAAAAGGTTTCACATTAAAAAGAGATTTAGTTACAGGTAAACATGCACAAATATTTAGTCAAATTTTAAACTTGATAATTGCCTTAACAAAAGCTGAATGATCCCTTAACAAAAGCTGAATGATCATTTGGGCAAAGTTCATCACATCATTGCTGTAAAATATTTTTGTTTTTAGCTCACCTGAGCATGCTCAGGGTGAGCTTTTAGGATCGATGATTGTCCGTCGTCCGTCCGTCGTCCGTTCACATTTAGTTGTTAACACTCTAGCGGTCACATTTTTGCCTCAATCATCATCAAACTTGGTCAGGATGCTTATCTAGTTGATAGCTCGGATGAGTTCGAACATGGGTCATCTCGGATGAGAAACTAGGTCACAAGAGCTAAAAATAGAAAAACCTTGTTAACACTCTAGAGGTCACATTTTTGCCTCAATCATCATCAAACTTGGTCAGGATGTTTGTCTAGGTGATAGCTCGGATGAGTTCGAACATGGGTCATCTCGGATGAAAAAAGTAGGTCACCGGAGCTAAAAATAGAAAAACCTTGTTAACACTCTAGCGGTCACATTTTTGCATCAATCATCATCAAACTTGGTCAAGATGCTTGTCTAGGTGATAGCTCGGATGAGTTCGAACATGGGTCATCTCGGATGAAAAAGTAGGTCACCGGAGCTAAAAATAGAAAAACCTTGTTAACACTCTAGCGGTCCAATTTTTGCATCAGTTATCATCAAACTTAGTCAGGATGCTTATCTAATTAATAGCTCGGATGAGTTCGATCATGGGTCATCTCGGATGAAAAAGAAGGTCACCGGAGCTAAAAATAGAAAAACCTTGTTAACACTCTAGCGGTCACATTTTTGCATCAATCATGATCAAACTTGGTTAAGATGCTTGTCTATGTGATAGCACGGATGAGTTCGAACATGGGTCATCTCGGATGAAAAAGAAGGTCACCGGAGCTAAAAATAGAAAAACCTTGTTAACACTCTAGCGGTCACATTTTTGCATCAATCATCATCAAACTTGGTCAGGATGCTTATCTAGTTGATAGCTCGGATGAGTGTGAACATGGGTCATCTCGGATGAAAAAGTAGGTCACCGGAGCTAAAAAATAGAAAAACCTTGTTAACACTCTAGTGGTCACATTTTTGCATCAATCATCATCAAACTTGATCAAGATGCTTGTCTAGGTGATAGCTCGGATGAGTTAGAACATGGGTCATCTCGGATGAAAAACTAGGTCACAGGAGCTAAAAATAGAAAAAACCTTGTTAACACTCTAGTGGTCACAATTTTGACTCAATTGTCATCAAAACTTGGTCAGGAAACTTGTCTAGGTCATTGCTGGGAAGAAATTGAACATGGGTCATCTGCGGAATGAAAAAGTAGGTCACCGGAGCTAAAAATAGAAAAATCTTGTTAACACTCTAGTGGCTACTGTTGTGATCCAAATATTCTGTTAATTGGTCTGAAAGTTTGTTTTGATGATTTCTAAGTCAAGTTCGAACATTGGTCATCTTGGATGAAAAAAAACTAGGTCACACCGCCCAAATATGGAAAAACCTTGTTAACATTCTAGTGGTCACATTTTCGACTCAATTATCATCAAAACCTTGGTCAGGATGCTTGTATAGGTAATTGCTTGGATGAGTTCGAAATCGCATGTGGAACTAGGTCACCGGAGCTAAAAATAGAAAAATCTTGTTAACACTCTAGTTGCTACTGTTTTGATCCAAGTATCCCTTGAAATTGGTCTAAAAGTTTTGTTTTGATGATTTCTAGGTCAAGTTTGAATATGTGTCACCTGGGTAAAAAACTAGTTCGCACTGCTCAAATATGGATAATCCTTGTTAACACTGTAGTGGTCACATTTTTGACTCACCTGTCATGAGACTTGGTCAGAATGCTTGTCTAGGTAATTGTTTGGATGAGTTTGATAAATCAGGTGAGCGATCTAGGGCCATCATGGCCCTCTTGTTTAATGTATATCAATCTTAAGCTCCTCTATTTCGAAGAAAAGGCAAGTTATAATGATTGCTACATTGCCATCATGCAAAAAATTTAATGTAGCCCATTTTTCAAACATTTGAAAAGGTACCTACACAAATCTTTGATTATTTGCTTATATTGGCAAGCTGCAGTTGTAAGACAATGGGCATTATCCTGAAAGCAATATTTTTAGGAGTTATGTCCCTTTTTAACTTAAAATGTGTGCTAAAAATTGCAATTAATAGGCATTGACCTTAACAGAGGAGCATGAACAATGCATGTGGTGCTCTTTTTGTAATAATATAATGAAATCCCTCAATTTTCAATGGACTTTTCCAAATTTAAAGCAGGGCAAACCAATTACACAAATTCAGCAGGTTGATGAAGATTTTAAAATTGTGGTGGATATAACTTTCAGGTGTGTTTGAGGATCATGTACAGCTAGCAAGCGGGGAGAAGATGCCATGTGGTATGGTGGTGTGGAGTACCGGTCTAGCTCCACGTCAGTTTGTCAGAGAACTTGATATTCCGAAAAATGACAGAGGACAGGTAATAATTCTGAAACGGTATTTAAATTGATAGTATGTTAGAAGTTGTGAATAAGCACGAAACAGTACAGTCTTTTTATATACATTGCAATATCAGTGATATTCTGTTGAAATAAGAATAATTTTTCCCATTCAGCATTCTATAGCCAATTTTTGGTAATATTCACAATTGAAAATGATACAATGTAGAAATGTTTGTGCCGAAAAAAAAAATTAAGGTATAGTTGTAAGATACTGGTACATGTACCGTTTTCATTTACAGATAAAGACCATATTTTCATACTTGACACTAACCTTATCTTAATTTCCCAAATATAAGCATAACAAAAATGTTATGTTCACAGAATAATTCTACGTACATTTTTACTTGATTGCTAAAAAGCAATGACAATTTTACTTTAAGTTAGAAATGATTAATATCTGATTATAGTAAAGAAGGCATCGTTGAACATTGTTCATATTTACTATTTTATATACACTGATGTTATGTTGTCAACATCAGTCTACATGTCACGTACTGCACAAGCATTATTATTTGTGGGGCACTTGTCTTCATGGTTTTCATTGATAGGTTAATCCTTGAATTTAAGATCCAATGAAATTTTAAGAACCCACGTAAATGTCCTTTTTGACAAAACTACAAAATTTCATGCCCATGGAACTTTAAAAGTTAATGAATTGACAGTAATATGTATATATTTTACATAGGTGCTTTTTTCTAGATATAAACATTGCTGTGGTATTCTAAGATTATTGACAAATTGCATCTACATCATTTTATTGACATATAAGAAAATACTTCTAATCATTATATTTATAAATGCCTGGGACATAATAATGTGTTCATTCTATGTTCCAGTAAATATATAAGCTTGTAAAGTATAGTATGATATCCTGATTTCTCTGGAATTTTCTTCAAACATAATCAAATGTTTATTTGCAGATATTAACAGACCGCTACTTGAATATTGTTGGAGATGCAAGTGGAAACAGTTTTGCTATAGGTGACTGTGCTGATATCAAAGACTACCCACTTCCATGTACAGCTCAGGTAACCTAATTTCTAATGGTTCATTACCTTTTCATACATTCACAAGTATTTTCCCACTTCCATGTACATTTAACCCTATACACTATAACCAGCTGGAATTAAAAATGATAAGCATTGCTACCAAGAGTTAGGCCAGTCTGCAGTCTAACCACTCACCAGGCTGAACATTTTTGTATGAGTTGCTTTCAATTTTCATCTTGATATCCCCATGAATTAATTTTGGACTGTTCCAAAAATGAAAGTGGGTGATGTCCATTCAAGAAATTTTGCAGATTAAGGGAAATGTTTTATTCCTCAAAAAACAGCACATGGCCTGCTTCCAATGTTGCTGGGTCCCAATGTCGCTGGGTCCATAATTTCTAAAAAAATATCGCCCATATCTGCAGTCATTGTTTATAGTACAGACAGCTGGAGGTATCCTCTCCTCTCAGTACATGTACCATTGTTTAAAGTAAGTTATACATTATAGATGTTACAAAACGATCATGTTATATGGTAAAACTTTGGATTGTTAATTAAAACCAAGTTTCTTGCCAAAATAGTTGTTTAATATATATGCATGAAGTCTTCTGATAAAGATTGCTTGCTTAGGTGTATGATACTGTCTAATGATGTCATTTGATGATTTAGGTTGCTGAAAGACAGGGTAAATATTTAGCCAAGCAGTTGAGTGGTAGCACAAAAGAAGAGTTCACATTCACCAGTGCTGGAATGTTAGCTTACATAGGCAGCTATGACGGCCTTACTGATCTCCCAAAAACTAAATTACAAGGTGAGCAGGCAAACTTGAAATTTCTATTGTATTCTATAATTGTTTCTTTGTTTAATTTTAACACATTTCCTGCACTATTTCTCTGCAAGTGACTGTCTATTAACCCCATATGTTTGGTAAATCAGCATTGAGAGATGAATGACAATTAGACTCAATGTCTGAGATCAGTTGTCATGGAAAAATTCGACCTGCCCGAGGATCGAACCAGTGACCCCTAGACCACATATCTGATGCTCTCCCTATTGATCTTAGCAAGCTTTTCAAACTAATTCAGACATAGTTTCTGCACATCTAAAAGTTATTCTATTATAAAAGTGTTTGTGTCCAGTAACATATCATTATAGTAAAGAATGAAATATTTTCCATATCTTCATCCTCTAGGAATTGTAAGGTCATAAAAGAGAAAAAGTATATTATAATAAACAGAAAATTCAAGTTCTTTTTTATACATACAGAATTTATTTTTATCTTGTGATATGAAAATAATCATATTTCACTTGTGGCTACCGCCATTTGGGAAATATTTATTTCCTTACCACTCGATGAAAATAAACCCTGTATTTATAGAAAAAACTTGAATATCCTCTTTATATTACAACATCAAATTTAAATATTTACTATTTTCAGGTTTTCCATCCTGGTTTTTATGGAGATCAGCCTATTTGACACAGCTTGGTAGTTGGAGATTAAGAATGCAGGTTCCTCTGGATTGGACTAAAACTTTATTGTTTGGACGAGATATCTCCAGATTTGATTAAGAAATACTATACATGTGGGCAATACATCAAACAATAAAATACAGCCAATATGCTTATAAGGATTTTAAATGAAATGCTAATATGAGCCGTGTCACAACAAAACCAACATAATGGGTTTGCGACCAGCATGGATACAGACCAGCCTGCGCATCAGCGCAGTCTGATCAGGATCCATGCTGTTCGTTTTTAAACCTTTTAACAAGTAGAGAAACGGATAGCAAACAGCATGGATCCTGATCAGACTGCGCTGATGCGCAGGCTCGTCTGGATCCATGCTGGTCGCAAACGCACTATGTTTGTTTTGTCGTGACGTGGCTCATATTTGTTTGCTGTCAACAGAGGGTTTAATTAAATCATCCTAATTCTGCTCATCAAGATGAAATTTAGAAATGGCATTGACACACATTTTACAATTACATTTTAGAGAATATGTTTTTCATGATGCCAGTCATATTGTTGCCTTTTTACAGCAAATACTTAACTGTGATTATGTCTCTTTCTTTTTATATCACATGTAATATATGTAGTTCTTGTACTACTTTTTAATAGATTTTTAAGTTATTTTGTTGTCTCCTTTGTCTCGAATGTTAACTTATGTCTAAGAATACTAAGATTTGAAATTCAGTTACTATAAACATTCGCTCAGGGATAAATATGGAGCAAATCTTTCTCAAAGTTTCTGTAACTTGTATGAATTAAATATTCTTAAAATTTTAGTGCTTGTTAAAGATATATGTTTGTATGTGTCAATATTTTTGGCATACATATTTAATTAGAATACTTATATACATGTTGACATGATATTTCTTTCATCTAAGTTATGATCTGGACTATTAAATGTTTTATGTTGGTACACCTGTTATTATTTTATGAAAGACTAGACCCCACAGCAAAATAAGGGCACATATGTCCAGGAGGTGGGGATGCAAATGTCCTAGAGTCTATTTGTTTTGTTGGGTGTTAAGATAGATTTACATAACACTACAAAGGTCAACATTCAGTTTTACTAGTAACGTGTATATTATCATGGCTTTACTGGTGAAGGAAGACTCTAGCTACCTCTCCATGCTTCATTTCAGGGACAAAAGAGCACCCTGGTAGAATCATTGACCTACCAGAAGATAGTTGGATAGCTTCTGGCCTTCTGCGCATCACGACTAGAGTAAATGTCATGTGTTTATATATTGTGCAGTGAAAAATAATATTCATTGAATGAACTGAATGTTTTGACTATGTTTACACTGTGACGAATTTCTAATCGACCATCTCTTAGAAATACTTCACAGAGAAAAAATATAAATAATTACGAGCTTAATACTTATAATTGCCCATATTAAACTTCGTTTTCAATTTACTTATGGAAACAGGCAACAGTGAGTAATAGCATTGTCAACCTTAAATTCAAAACAAAAAATGTAAGATGAGTACATTATACGTGATATTCTGTTTCAATAAATGTGCTTTGTATCTCCACCCGCTGCGACAATTGTTCCTCTGGAGAGTACATGGATCATGCCCTTTGACAAGTGGGCCCCAGTCTGCTGTATTATTGACCACCTGTTATATTATTATCATCAATTTGAATAACCTATAGATATAAAAGCATGATTGTTACATCAACAGATAAGACAATTTGCGACTTTTACAAAGACCTAAAACTTACCTAGACGCTGGTGCGAATACTTTGAACGGCTTGAGGGTCTTCTGCAATAATCATTCTTGTCGTTTGTAAAAAAAACAATCTTCAAAACGCATTTTATCAAAATTTTATCAAACTACACGCACCTGAAACTTAACCAATTATAAGCTATTTTCGCACGTGCCGTTCCGCATGGATGAATTGTACACGAATATGTCTCTGGATATCACGTGGTTTAAAGTTTCTGTCTTGTATGGCATCGAGAAGTCTTCGGATTCGATCTGTTATTTCATATATCAAAAATATATTTCATACGATCAAATTTCCTTACAATATATAGACTAAGAGATATAAATAATGATTATTCGTTTAAACATAATGTCGTTCAGTATTTCTAGAAACGCAAGCATAGTCGGGGACAAAACAACTTTTAGAGATAATTGAAATTTTAGAAATTATGAATTTATTTTCATAATCAACGAAACATGGACCTTGTATTAACTAAAATGGTGCTAGACAAATTTGATTACAGCTAAAGATAAAACTTCCTTGACCTTTTTCAGATGCAGAGCACTAAACTTTGAACGCTTTAATAGACCGGCCACTGCCTTGAATGTAGTCAATAAAAGTCATGATTGATATAATAAACATGCGATACAGTCGGATGTTCTGCATATGTATATAAATCTGTTTATTTTTGCAGATAAGCCTAATATAAATAGAAGAGACGTTTGATTTTATAAGTAATAGAAAAAGCATCGAAACACGAGACTATCTGATTTGTACGAGGGGGTGTAGCCCCCGAGTATAAATCAGATTGCTGAGAGTTTTGATGTTCTTTCTCTTTTGTATCATAGTCAAACATAGAAACACGTTCCCTGATTTCACAATATGAAACCACAGAGAAAAGTAACCAACGAACGAGCATCTGAATATGAAATTGCTGTCGCTTTCTCTGCAGTCGCAATAAGTAAAGCCCGGCAAAAATGAGCCAATCAACGTACATGCTCTGGAGTGCGGGTAACTAATAACTGCATGCACTCCAGTTAACGCACTGTGCATGCATATGTATACGATCTAACTCTGACACGTTTTTAACAGAAAGGTCCCCAAACTATGATACATCCATCCTTATACAATAAGTAATGTAATTATATAATGTCCGCGATTGGGTTTTTAAAGTGTGGAACAAGACCAATGAAATTGTATAATATCTGGTAACCAGATAATTTCCAGCAAGGTTTGAATAACTCGGCCAGTCAATACCAGGAACACAAGATCGGCCACTACTGTATATGTATCACTACTGTGCTGTAGGCTATTTTTAACATTACATGTATGCAGAAACCCAAATTGTTTCTATTTATAAATGAACTATTTATAGTAACAAATAGGATTTCCGTGTAGCTAAAATAGCCTTCATTTTATGTTACGGGAAAATCTAGATGCACGAATTAAATATGATATTAAATGTTTAATAACCAAAACTCTAGGTAAGTAAGTTTTTTTATTCTGAAGCACGTTGCTGAAGTTGATCATCTTGATTAATTTACAGTTGATGGAATTTAATTACATGTAGACAGTAGTGATAGATTTCCAAATCATTCAATTGCTTTGTTTGTAGAAAAAGGTTTATATACTTGTCAGACGGTATTGAATAATCATGCTCAGATTCAGTGTAAATTATTAATTGATAACAACTGTACCTGTAAGTGTTAATTGCAAAAATGTATTATTTAATTGATTAGTCATTAGATTTGGTGCAATAATTTAGCACGTGCATAGATCTGCAGTATTTATAGTGTAATTGTAGTACACGATGCTATTTTGCGAATGGGTAATATCTCCCCTCTACAAGCGAGATTCTGACCCAGAACATAACTTTCTCAGCATCTACCTTAATATGCCCATACACAAAAAACCCACAATATCATAAAATTTGTAGTAGATCTACAGTTAGCTATTTGGGCAAGTGCATAAAGTAATGCCATCATTATATAGATCTATAAGAACAGTGCAATTCGAGCTATTTTACATATTCTAAGCTAATTTTGCCATCATAAAAGCTAAGTTCATTAACTTGGCTGTGTGAAGGAACTTAAAAAGCTGATGCATGGAAGGTTAAAATTAAAGTTGCAATGGCTGATAAACCTGCTCAACCTTTGGCAAGGGGCTAGTGTTAGATTACAATGATACATTAAAATACACAAAATATTGCATATGCATTAATGTGCCTATCATCAACTTAACTTTAATTAGACTGTCATGTTAGTTACTGTAGTTATTTAATTAGACTAGTTATAAAAGGATTGCTGGCAGTGTGGGTTCAAACCCCATCAGGGGCTTAGAAAGCCTAATGTTTCCTTGCGCAAGAAACTTTACACTCATTGCTTTGTACCGGTTGGTTCCAGAAACAGATTTGAGTATATATATCTATATGCTTGTAGTTTTCTACACATTCAAACTGAAATAAATTTGGTTTAACTTACTTAACTTAAGGGATTATCAAAGTTTTCTCTTGGTTCCAGAGAAGCTTAACTTAAAGTATATTATTTATGTGTTACAGTATTTGTATACAATATAATTGTTACATGTACATGTTGTAGGTGGAAATAACATTTGAAAGGAGTAATGGAGCAAGGAGTTTGTTATACATATAAAGCTGCAGCCTATCCACGGTACAGATTTTACCAACAACATCTACAAAGACTGTGTAACAGATGGCAAAATATCCTAGGTAACACTGAGTCAAATATAAATTACAATTTTATGTTATACAAATAAGTATTTTTATTTCTTTTGAATATTACTTTGTCAACAAGTTACATTTTAATTTTTTCAGCTATCATATACAATGTGCATGTAATATGGCCATATTAATGTCATACATGTACCTAAGGACACATTTTGGTACTGCTGATGAGGGATCCGAGATATTAACTGCTTTATTTTAATAATTGTTTTCCATTGAAGGATATTTATCAAAGAAAAATCCCCGATAAAATGTTAGAAATAAAAATATTGTTTTTATAGGTAGACAGTTCAGACTTGCAAACTTATGTTATCAGTGAGTGCTTGAAAGATAGATATATAAGAAAATAAAATTTTCTTTGAAATAACAAACTTTTCAAGTATTTAATTGAGCGTACACAAGGGCGTGCCTGTGTGTTTCATTAATTTTAAATTTAATTTAATCTCATTAAATGCTTGCATGTTGGTATTTTCATTGTACAAAGGTATAATAATAAACATTTTCTTTTGTGGACAGATGCTGGGAGTTTACCAGATTGTGTATCACGGGGTAGAATCAGGTTAAAGGAAATACTATCACTATCTAAACAGATTGAGGACACAGTCACTGTCAATGTGTATGCTGACCATGACTTTCTCGAGACTAGCAAGCTACTATTACAATGTGACCAGAAAGTTAGTGGTCAGGTGGGGTCAGTATCCTGGAAGAGTTTTATGGAAGGGTCAGTGAAGAGCAGTGAGATCACAGTAACAGTGATAGTGCTACGGTCAAAGGAAGAAAATGTGAGATTTAATCAAGTTCATTTGATGTATTTTAATGTTTTGTCTATTAAAATTGGTGCCATTTGCAACAGTATTTCAATTCTATTCCAGCATGAAGCTCCTGTAAAGGCCAAAAGAGGTGTTCTTTTCTGGTTTCTTTTTGATCAAAGTATCATGTTCAAAACTTAGTATTGCCTGCCTTATATTCCTTGTAAATAGAAAATTTGATCTATCGGCCTAAATTTGGAATGAAAAATGTAATAAGCCTGGGGTTTTGACATACAAAGTCAAAGATTGGATACCTAAAGCTCTTGCTGGCTTTTAAACTAATGGAGTAAATCTTTATTTAAGTACTAGCATCTACATGTATATTATAATTTTTGAACAAGTTTTTTTAAAAAAGATGATGAAAATCAATCTTATGTCAAAGTTTCTCTTTAAAAATTGATAGTTTATAATGTCAGTCATAATTATTTTCTTATGAAAGATAATTTGTAACCTAGCTAGCAGTAAATGCCTGCTATTGTTCACGTGACATGACCAACCTTATTGCTAAATATTTGGCATTAGATAAGGCCTGGAGCACATTGTTTGTTTGCATAATTATGTAATTTAGAGTTCACATTTAGATATTTAGTAACAAAATGATACTCTAATCTTGGTAAATCTATTCTTTGGTGAAGGTCTTCAATTAAATAATGGGAGATGTTACCAAGTACAATGCAGTTAGTTTAAAGTATCTGCCTGGCATTCAAGTGATAGTTGCCATGTTATGGATATGATTTGGTTTACTTATATTGTGTGTCATGTTCGTTTCAGAATTTGGAGGTTTTTAATGCTGTGATCTTCACAACAATCAAGCTGAAAAATATGCATTATTATTTATTATACATTTCCATTATTGTAGGCAATCAGTAATCTGAAAAAACAGCTTTCTGGAGTGTCGAAAGAGGAGATTCGCAAAGTAATTATTCACTTTGTTGACACTCAGACCAGCATACCATACAACAATGTTGTTGATAAGAAATTACATCAACCAGATGTAGTAGACTCAGTCACTGATAAAACTAGGGTACTTTCCTTACCTCTGAACCAACAAATTCAGCACCTGTTAGAAGAAAGCGTGATATTTGTTTTAGAGCGTATAGCAGAGTATAACAAAGAGTTTATCTTGAAAAAACAAGAGCACCAAGCCAGTGACGCATTAGAAAATGCCATCTTCACAGGACTGATGAAAAGTATGCGAAACACGTTTGTAGTCAAAGACCTATCACCAGATGAGAATGATAAACCTGGTAAGATATCAGTTTGTTTGTTAGTGACATTTTCTTGGATATCTTTATTAACAGTAAGTCATTGGTGAAAATCTAAATTCCATGTCTTTGATAAAGATAATAGAAATTATCTTTTGGTACTATTCTTTTAACAATCATGTACCTTTTAACACAAGAACTTGAAATCTTCTCAGTAAGAGCAGTAAAATAGGACTTTACTGATATTATTCACAGGATTTTAAGTTCCTGTGTTTTTAAGCTGATTTTATTTCACACCCGTTCAAATGAAATACAGGCAATATCTTCTGAAAGTAAAAAAAAATTGTAAAATAAGTTAAGCCATCTAAGTTTAACAAGGGTCCATCTGCTTATTAAGCCATAAAATGCACCTTTTGCTTAAAGACTTAATTTTGAAGCACAAAGGGGTATGAACAAGAAACTTAGGGATGCTGTTGCTGCAGTCTCTAGTCTTGTTTTCAAATTGGTTGCCTCTCTTGGTTGCCTCCGGGATGCAACGATATCTGGATATAACAATATAAATTTGGCAATTCCCTGAATAATGTTATAAGCAGAATATACTGCAGTTAATGTGCTCCCTTAGCAGCTAAATGTATACACAACCGTTGCCTCAAAGTGAATGATAGTGGAACGTTTGACTGATGCCCAGGAGAGTAAGTGTAGATGTGTTTCTACTAAGTGTAACGGAGAAAAACATTTTTATTTGCAGATGAAGGTTTGAAAAAAGCAACAGACAAGCAGTTATCAAGACTTGCCTCGGGGATTGGCAGCAACTGGGAGTTGTTAGGACCGTCGTTAGGGGTGACGGCTATGGAGCTGGATCACATTAAATCAGAACATAAAACTGTAGCACAGCAGTGCTATCACATGTTGATCTTATGGCGACAAAAAGAGGGGTCATCACTAACATATATATTACAGCTTCTGAAAAACCTTTCAAAAGTAATTGCAGTGGATATGAACGTTGTTAAAGGTAATACTGTAATAGTGAATAGTAGTTTGTCTGTCTATGTATTGAGATTATTGACATCTAAATTGTTAAGAATTAATATTTCTTTAAAAAAAAAAGGACTGATGATATATTTAGGTCATGTGACATGTATTGTGCTTAAATAATGAAAAGGGTGGAGAACTATTATTATGGCAACATGTTAACTTAATTTGCACCTGTTAACCTTTTTTTAGACTTTCACCTGCTCACTCATGATAAACCCTTAGCTGGGCATCATGTCTTAATGGGATTTTAGTATCAAAATACAAAACTTAAACTTTTATAAACACTTATTATCAAGTTCATTTATATTGTTATGCAAGGTAAATATGAACTTTTGTGAAAAATATTAACGTTAGTGCAATGACTGGTTAACTCCTATAAAATTTAGAAGGCCTTTATTATAAATTACCTGTTACTGCACTGAGGTAAAGATTTTTTTTGTAAAATAATTTATATTCCTTTTGTTAGAGATTGAAGCAGACAAGCCAGTTCCATCAACAGCTTCAGATAAAGACAAGATTTTCCACAAAAAGCTGCTAGATTTTGTATCGAAGAAAACAAAATGTGTTGTTTGTGATAACTTCTTTGAAAAGGAACCACTAACTTAATTTAAAGTTCCTAACGAAATTTTTTCGTTTCGAGAAAAATGTGGAAAAGTTTAGACATGCTTTCCACGGCCCAAAAACAAGTTGATTATGGGGTGCCCCCCCTGTAAATGTTCTCCCCAAGGGTGCCACAAAAATGATTAAAAAGCTCCCTGAGGGAGAAATTTTTTTTTAAGGGGGAAACATTATGTGCTTGTTACACTGAAAAGACTTCAGTTCCAACTGTTCGGACTCCTGCAAGAAACTGACGTTATATATGAAACCATTATACCCGAGATACCAAAATTACCTACTGATTTGAAGCATGATATTCTTCAGTGAGTAAATTTTAAAGCTTTTAAACAGGGAGAGCTATTGTACTTACCCAGGCATCGTTGTCACACTTTGGACAAGTTTTTGCATGCAAGTTGGTATCTTCAAAACTACTGAAGAGAATGTGTTGAAACTTCTCACACTTAACTGAGAGCATAAAAGGAGGTCACTAGCAAAGGCCATAACTCTAATGTGGAATTTGACATAATTATGTCCTTTTTGAACTCCGCAAATCCTACATTATCCAGATTCTTGTTTTACTAACAAGTGCTAAGAATAGTCGAGCATGCTGTCTTACTGACAGCTCTTATTATTAGTCCCCTACCGGTTTACCGGAGGGGACTATAGGTTTACCCTCCGTCCGTCTGTCTGTCTGTCCGTCTGTCTGTCCGTCTGTCTGTCCGTCTGTCTGTCCGTCCGTCAGTCCGTCCGTCCACAAAACTGGATCCCGCGATAACTTGAAAAGTACTGAAAATATTTTTATGAAACTTGATATATGGATAGATGGCAGTACGGAGATTATGCACATCTTTTTCTTTTCTTCCTATGTTGAAAATTCTGGTTGCTATGGCAACAAATAGGCTTAAAATATGGCAAATTTTACACATAAACTGGATCATGTGATAACACAAAAAGTACTGGAAATATTTTTATGAAACTTGAAATATGGGTAGATGGCAGTCTGGAGATTATGCACGTCTTTTTCTTTTCTTCCTATGTTGAAAATTCTGGTTGCTATGGCAACAAATAGACTGAAAATATGCCAAATTTTACACATAAACTGGATCCTGTGTTAACGCAAAAAGTAATAGAAATATTTTTATGAAACTTGTAAAATGGGTAGATGGCAGTCTGGAGATTATGCACGTTTTTTTCTTTTCTTCCTATGCTGAAAATTCTGGTTGCTATGGCAACACATAGACTGAAAATATGGCAAATTTTACACTTACACTGAATCCAGTGATAACTCAAAAAGTACTGGAAATATTTTTATGAAACTTGATATATGGGTAGATGGCAGTCTTGAGATTATGCATGTCTTATCTGTTCTCCCTGTTTTGAAAAAATATTGGTTGTCTTGGCAACAAATAGGCTTAAAACATGGCAAATATAACATTGTTTGTGATAAGTCAAAAAGAGCTGAAATTTTTTTCTGAAATTGCATCTTTAATTCAAGAGTTATCTCCTCTTTAAGCATTTTGCTTTTAAAAATGTTATATTTTGGTAACAGGGATGTTTCAAATATTAACTTTAGAGTGTCCTTCAGTCCGTCTGTTCATAAAAACTGTTTCCTGTGATCACTTTTAAAGAACTTTTCCATCAAATTTACTTAAAATATAGAAAAATTGAAATATTAGTGAATGGCCATTGGCCCTTCAGAATGTTGATGGGGTTCTAACCGGTCGGGGACTTATGGATTGCTTGCAATACTATGATAATTGCTTGTTTAAAGTGAGGTGTAATACTTTGCTGTTGGAATTGCAATATAAAACATACATTCATTTATATACCTGTCTCATTATTTATTAGCTTGACTTATCGAAGAACAATATGGCAATCCTGCTGACCACTATCCAAGGCATATAACTTTTGCATGAATTTTGACTGAATTATGGCCCTTTTATGAACTTAAAGGCACTGTATGCCTAAGAAACAAATAGTTTTTGCCTTATTTAGAAAAAGCAAACATGAGTTTTATTATGTTTAATTGTTTTAGAGCATGTTAGAAGCTTAATATCTGAAGAAAGTAGCGCTCATTGTGAAACTATTTGTCATTTTAGTAGCAAAATGTAAACAAAGCAGTATTTTGCATTCCATACAAATAACTAAATCACTATAACTGTTCCAATTGCCAAAAATGTACCAGTAATTGGCCAATGAGTAACTTTTTTGAAACTAAAATTAAACACTGTATCTTTTAAAAAATAAAAACAAATGTTAAATAGTTTAAAAGAAATCTTCTTTGTAAATTCTTACATTATTCAGGCTCTTGTTTTTCTACCAAGCAATGAGAATAATCGAGGGCATACATACTGACAGCTCTTATTCATTAAAATTTTTTTTTAAAAAACAAAATAAACAATATTATTTGGATTTGAAAACGAATACTAGTTATTTTTTAAGGTAAACAGTTTTTATTTTTAATTTGCCTGGTCAAAAAATATGAGATCTGACAGTTTGTTAATTTTTTTTTTGTTTTTTTTTTTTTTAACAGTTTTTTTTTCAATTTTCTTTTTTATAACATTTTAAATATCAGGTTTATGGGGTTTTAACACTTTGGGGGGTTGTATTCTTGATAAAAAAAGTAAATCAATATAAAAAATAAATCGATATTCCTGTCTAAACGTAGTGTATTTAACAACAGAGGTTTTTTTGACTCAGTTTGACTCGGTGGGTTTTTGAAAGAACTTTATGCACTTCGAGCTAAAAAAACGAATTTGCAAATTTTGAATAAAGGGGGGAAAGATGGGAATTTGGGTTTCTTCGTTTAAATTTAACTAAAACGATGAAAGAAGTCACAATCAGCCCGAACAAAATGATCGTCACAGTTCAGTCAGATAAAATAACAGATGCTGCTGCAACTGATAATACATTACAGGTACTCACATGTGCTCATTGCATCACAGAATGTGATACAAAAGTTGAGATAAAACACAATAATACATATGTTGAATTTGGTGAAAAACAACACTATATTTATGAACCAAATGAGTTTGACGTTGCTACTATTAAAGTTATGGAACATAATGCAACAAAGTGTGAAAAGGCTTTGAAAAATAGCAACAATGCTTGCATAAAAAGCTGGAAATTCGAAAAAACTCCTGAAGTGAAAACACCAGTATACAAATATGGCTGTGCAACTGGGTTAACATACGGAACTTGCATATCAATCAACTATCAGAAAAAAAAGATGAATGAATGGAACGGGAAGTTAGAAAATGAAGACGACCATTTAAATCCAAGTAACAACATACTTATTAGCAGAGAAGACATTGATGATAATATACAGATACATGGTATAAAGCCTCAACAAGAAGCTAGGGCAGGGCGGGGTGAAGAGGAAATGGAAATTGACAACAACAAAGGTATTGCAATATCACCCATGTTTGATTATGCAGGCCTCGACATTAGCGGTGGTCTGTTGGTCCGAGACCACCTAATTTTGGCAAGGACCACCTAATTTTAAAAGCCACTGGCCCGTCAGACCACTTGAATTTTCTGGTTGGTGCAAGGCTCTTTTGGGAGAATGCCGATTTGGTCAAAAAACATGTTTTTAACCATTTGTCCAATGTACATGTACATGTATATGGTTCATTAATTTCTGATTAGTTCAAGAAGTTCTTAAGTCATCAATAACTTTCATTTAAAATCGCTAGAATTTTGTTTATGCAAGTTAAAAGAGTTTAAAGAGTGTGTGATATTAATTTAGGTAGACGATTCATTCAAATGATGCTAGTAATTATGATATTGTTTGGATCACAGATAAACATAAATTTCAGATATTTTAATAATAGCACCAAACGAAATGAAATGGAAAAAATATATCTAGTAATTCTTGATATTTAACGTTATTTTGACGATAAGAGATCCATTTCCTCCAGAGTTAAAATTACTTTAAAGTGTTAAAAATACTCAATATCAAAAATAAATATCAACCAACAAGCAACAAGGAGGTAAAAAATTCTGTACATGTATTATAAATATGTGAGAAAAATTAGCTAAACTATAGTTATATATAATGTTGGTATTATTTTTTATCCTTTAGATATTTCCTTGTTTCCAAAGACAAGAATAAGCTAATTTAATAGTTTTTTTCAAAATGCTAATCCATAAAAAATAATTTTCATGATTATAAGACATACCACTTATCAGCAATGAAAAGTTGAAAAACAGTTAGAAAATAGGGCAGATAGACAATGGTTTTACTTATTCCCTAACTTGAGTTGAGGGAGAAGTCACTCAATATAAAAGTTAACATAAATACGAGCCCTGTTATGTATTTTTGAATGTGATAATCAAAAATAACTTTACAATAGAATTAACCTACGGACTTGTTCTCCATAATTTCAAATTAGATGAAAAAATATATATCTAAAAATTTCTGTTTTCTTTAAAGGTTAATAATACACCTTTGTAATCAAATTTAATCATATTTTGTTCTAAATATGCAGTAAAAGGGTAAAAATTTCAAAAATAACAAACTAATGATATAGTAATAATAACTGACAACCTGAATTCCGGAAGGCCCACCAAAATTTAAAACCCTGGGCTACCCCTGCTAAAAATATTCGGGCCTTTTATGTTTTTGAAAAAAATTTTGAAAGAAAGTAAGATAATGAATTGAAAAAATTTTTTAAAAACAGTACAATAAATTTGTTACTGGCATCAAATTTTTTTGTAATTTTTATTACCCAAATTTTAAATACTTTTAGTAAAATTTTTGGAAGCCCCCTGACAGGTTTTTAATGATTATAAACATAATGTATTTAAAAAAGAAAAAGGGAACAATTTAGGGGGGAAAAAATTTTAAAAATTTTTCGTCATCACTTTTTATCATTTCGTGTTTTAACGGTTTTTTTTTGACTGTAAAATCGGGAAAGGTAGTACTTTTTTTGCATTCATTTTTCAGAAAACTTCCCCAGCTCGGGAATACGGGCAGTGGTATGTAAAGGGGGCCCAGACAATGACGACTGTATACTGTGCTCCTTGTGAGGGGGCAGAAAAACAAAAAAAGGAGTACATACATTTACTCCAATCATATAGAAAAATGTTAGGGAAACTGGAAAACGTTTTAAGCTCACCCATCCATTTATATTTGTTGTTGTATCTAATCTTCAAAAAGGGAAAAAATTTACATGTACCCCCCGTTTTTAAAAAACTCTTTATTTTAAAAAAAAGCTTTTTTTTTGGAAAAAATGCTTATAACTCTTTAAAAAAACGACAATTTTTGGCCGGTTTTGCGGGCTGCGGGAAAAACTTTTCATAACAGTTTTCTCAGCAACCACTTATCACAGCCTCTTGATATTTTGCATACATCGTTGACACATGGTCCCATACCGTTGGATCCGATTTCAGGGCTGTCACTTATCCACTTTCTGTTTATAGACTTAGTTAAATTTTCGACATTAATGATCAATGGTAGGAAATTTTTGTAACAGTTTTCTGAGCAACTACTTATCACAGCCTCTTGATATTTGGCATACATCATTGATGACCAATGGTAAATTTTTTTCTTAATATCACAGCATCATGATAATTATTTGGTATACAAATGCAACCCAGCCTTTTCTGTCTTTGACCCATTTTTACTTGCATCTTTTACTGTTGAGTTACCATCAATTACCCAATAGAAATGTTTCATCTACAGTCTCTCTTAGTATATCTACAATTTAAATAAAATCATGGCCAGAACATTTTACCTATTTAGCTTGACAATTCAAAGACTGGGGAGAACTATTGTACTCACTTTGGTTAAGTTTTGTCATGCGGGTATCTCTAAAACTATTTAAGGGAATGGGTTGAAACTTCACACACTTATTTGAGAACATTAATAGGGAGTCACTGTTCAAGGCCCATAACTCTAATGTAGAGTTTTGACAGAATTATGGCACTTTTTGAATTTGAAAAATTCTACATTATCCTAATAAGGATCTTGTTTTAATATATAGCACAGGCAATAATCGAGAGTGCTGTCCTCCTTGCAGTTCTTGTTCATACTATGATTTTGATTGCATGAACAATCTCTTAAGTTTAATATTGCAAATTATGTGTGTCAACTACTAATAAGTATATAGAAAGATGGAAAGCTACCTCATTTTTAAATGGAACATTTTAATTAATTGTATACCATTTTACCAAAACTGTTCATATAGTTAAAACTGTCAAATTTTATTTTTTAATTCTGCTAGTGGCAGCTGATTCTACCCATGTGACCAGTGCAGCCTGCATGTCCCTGTCAAATTGATCATTATAGTCTGCACTGTTGGCTGTTCACTAATATTTCACTTCAGCCATATTCTTAGGTGCAAACTTTAATATATGTTTGTTAATTTATCATATAAAAAGTTTTTGCTAATTTCTGACACTCATTTTTCAGCTCAAGACTGTGTTGGTGCAGAAAGAATTTAGCTGAATCAATTGGTACATGTAAGCATTATTCATCCATATTAAAAAAAAACAAAAAAAAACAAACTTGAACTTCAAGTGAATTAAAAAAAAAAATGGTCGGTTTTAAAAGATTTATTATATACATGTACATGTTATAAACTTTTGAAGTATTTAATCATTGTATGCATTCTTGATTGCTGATTAAAATGTTACAAGATGCTTGTAGGATTTTATTCACATGTATTTCAAACATGACTATTACTTTTTCAGGCTGACATTATGGTCAAATGTGGATTAATTGTATAAGAATTTTATTCCTGGTGGAAGTACAGTATTGACAATCGATGAACAAAATATGAATTTAGTCTGTTCCAGCAAAACAGTGTTTTATGTGTATAATAGTAAACAAATGTCAAATGCAAAGAGTTTGGAGAAAACATAATGTTTAACTTTTCATCTTGATTTAAACTTGTCTTATTCTGAACCAGATCAATAACAGGTGCCTACAGGATTCAATCAGTGAGGAACTGTTATCACACTAACGCTGTACTAGATAAACTGTGACATATCTATTCCAGTCTTGTCAAGGGTTTAAGCACATATTTGGAATTAAAGCTGTGGTTTAAATGAACACTTGAAAATGTGATGTACATTCCCCGTTTAATATCATTATAAAAAAAATGGTGTGACATGATGTTGAAAAATTGAATTTTTAAATAATCAATATTTAAATCACTGTACATATTTTTTCTTCCCAACTTTTTTTTGTTTGGGGTGTTTCTGAAAAGGGGGTTTAAAATGTGACTCAGTTTTACCTCAGTTATATTTTTGTCAAATGCATTACCTGAAAGAAGTATTAAAAGTGATAATTATGAAGTGTTTCAATTCATTAGCTGCCTAAAAGATGATAACGGTTTAAGTCAATAATTTAGTCCAGTCCAAAACAACAACAACAAGAAAACGTCAAACCGAAAGTAAATATATATTTTTTTATGTATATCTCTTTAAACAACACGTGTCTTGATATTATATTACTTGTGAATTAATAATGTTTTTGTTGTTTAGATGATTTAATGACTGTTAAAATACAGGCCTACCGGATGCGTTGAATTTTGACCGAAAATAACTGACTTTGATTTCGGATACTGTTATGGTCGTCTACTGATCAAGTTGATATTTAAAATTGTGACTGACTTTATTATACCTGATTATTCAAGTATATAAGATCAGATAACAATTGATTAACAACTTTATAATTGATTAAATGATCAACTTGTTATTAATGTTTTTTTTTCCATTTTTTTCTTGTTTTTTTTTTTTGTTTTTTTTTTGTTTTTTTTTTCCTAGCCCCCACCCTCATTCAAATTTTATGTAATTAAACAGCAGATAAGCTGCAATATATTTCGTCATAGTTACAATGGCTTTTAGTCTTATAAAAATAAAATGATTTTTAAGTAGGCCTACTATCCAAAGTAAACTTTAACAATTACATAAATTGATATAGCATGAGAAGGCAATTTCAATCACACCATATAGGAAATTTTTTTTCATTATAATTCCACAAATAAATCAAAATAATATAAATCCTGACATTCCCTGGAGAGAGGAATTAATTTACGTTAGTTTTAGAAATCAAGTACTTGCATGTAAGGAAATATCTGTTCTGATAATGATCCAAAAGTACCTGAATGACAAGTTGTTCAGATAACTATATTGTAAATAAAGGAAGTTGAATGAAGACTTTGATATATATATTCAAATGATGAAAACAATGTGAGTCTGCATGATCTCCTACACTAACTGTAACTTTCAAACTTTTTGATCACATTCAAGGGCCATAAAATAGCCAAATATGACTAAATTACAAAACTGCAACAGTATGTACTTAGGCACTTGGTGACAATAATTCTGTGAAAGAGGTTGATTTCCCATGAGAAATGTAGTACATATCTTTTGTACAGAAGAATATTCTCTGTGTACATGTATTACATATTATGTACAAATAAAACTTAAGGACATTCTAAGGTAACAAATGATCAAATCACAAAACCGCGATGATATTTACCAGAGCACTTTGTAGCAAAATTACATACACACGTGTTGTCTTTGTAAAAAAAACAACAAAGTCACAGAGCCAAATAAAAATCTTGTTAGCATTCTTGGAATATCATGGTAATTTGTCAGTAAGGTTATTTTGACCATAGGTGTTCGGCGCATTGATTGGTCACTACCCCCGGGCCAACTGCCCCCCCACCCACTCTACAACCCTCCTACCTCTCAAAACCATTTAATGATCAACATTATTTTTTGTCCAATCACATTGTAGTATTTTTCAAATTTCTGCTAAGTCTAACATTGGTTAATGTGTATTAACTAAATAAAATTTACTTAATCTGTCGTCTAACCAGTTTACCCTCCTGTCACAGTAAACCTAAATTGACATACAGAAAAAGGGTCAACTGTTTTTCAAATGAGCAAATCAATAGGGATTTTAAATGTTAGTGAATAACTTGCTTACAACAAATTTGTCTCACATTTTCCATTTATTTTAAAAGAATTTACACATTTCATTAACTCCATTGTTTTTACCTATTTGAATTTTTTTCCTCGCTGTTTTTTTTTTAAAGAAATTTTATAGAAACATGATAGTCTTACTTTAGATAAAGGTATAATTTCTGTGACATTTCAATAAAACATGTGCCTAATTATATGTTAAAAAGGCCATTTATTTAGCTTTTCTAAATGTGACATGTTAGAAACTTGACAAGGTGTAGACATCTTTAATTTAGAGCGAAAGGGCGGAGCTATCGGTGAATTAGAGAAATGCCTTGTTTTTGGTTGAAAAAAATAATGTTGATCATTAAATAGGTTAATGTTTAATAATACATGTTAACAAAAATAATTGGTCGCCTGCCTGTGGCAGGCTTGACCAACTATTTTTGTTAATATGTATTATTAACACTAACCTATACGAAAACTGCAGTATTTTTTATTTTAACTTTATTATCACTCTAGAAGTAACATTTTCAGCCAAAAAATATTCTGAAAATTTATCAGAAAGGTTGATTAAATGAATTTTAACTCAATTTGGTATACGGGTCACCTAGGGTCCAAAACTAGACCACAAAGCGTTTAAAATAAATGTCATATTTTCAGTCCAAATATCCTGAAAAATTGTCAGAAGGATTATTTTGATGATTTCTAGCACAGGTTGAATGTGGGTCATCTAGGGTCAAAACTAGGTCACACTTCCCAAATGAAGAAAAACCTTGGTAACACTCTTGAGGTTTTCATTTTCAGCCCAAATTATCCTGGAAATTTGTTGGTAAGGATGTTTTAAATGTTTACTAGCTATAGTTCGAATATGGTCATCTGTGATCATTATGAAAACATTTATTATATGTTCCTTTTTATTTTCAAGAAAAATAGATACATGTACTTAATATTAAATTAAGTGCTTTTTTGATGTAGATATTGAAGACTGTTTCATTGTAATAGTGGCAATTCCTTGCATATTACTCTTTAATCAATATACAATTGATTTTTGATGGGACAAACTTGGTCGGGTGTCTCATTTTTTCCATCTATAGATAAACATGCAATGCTTGCATATGCAAAGAAATAAATGACAACCCTTTGTTTTTTAAAAAAATATTTGAATCTTGTTTTGTTCCAAGCTAAGGGCAAACTTTTTTTTTTTTTGATAATAAATGACATAATGTAATGGTAAACTAATAAAAGTGATGGACATCTTATACAGTAGTGTACAATGAGCTACTGAACTGCATAGATTGACTACAAGGAATTCATGAAAGTTTGGACAGGTTCACGATACTGTAAAGCAAAAACTGGTGGTCATCTTTTCCAGAAAAAGGACCTTGTTTTATATTTTGAAAGGGTTTTTGAAATCATATTTCAAAATTTGATAATCACAATGAGAGTGAAATAAAAGCTGATTTTTTTCCAGACATTTCATTTAGTATGCCATGGATAAAGGTTCGAGTTACACCTACTCTGTTGCTGCATTCCCGAGAGTAAAATATTTTCAGGAGAGACTGTTGAGCTTTACACCAAGATGGAACAGAATTTTAGGTATAATTCAAGTCTATGTCTTATTATTAGTTATCAGTCATCGAATTTAAGATTTTGTATTCACAGGCCCGAATTCCAGTTTTGAATTTATTCTACTATATATTTAACTAAATTTTCTTAAAATTTACACAGGCCGAACTAATTTTCACTGGCCATGGCCCACCGGGCTTGTGCTAAATTCGATGACTGAGTTATTAATATTTTTACAGGTTAAATGACCCAGAATAAACATTGTGCATGTAAGATTATATACCGGTAGTCTTGTTTTACAAATTAAAGTTTAACAAATAATGTCCCTTGTCACAATATAATTAAACCTGCCTTTGGCGTTAACATAGACTTAAATAGAAAATTTTATGTAACACTTGATGAACCAGAACTTGCACATTTGGCAGTATTTCTAGCAATAGATCACAGAAGAGAGATAAGTACAAACCTGACCCTCTTGTTGCATTCTTCTGTATTATTTTTACATACCAGTTGTTTTATTTTTTGCTGTGTTATTTTCTAGATGGAGAATCTCTACAAGACTGTGTTTATGAAGGAAGATTAAGACAAAAGGAAATTCTGTCGTTGGAAGATACCAGTAGAGGCAAGATCACTGTTAATCTGTTTGTAGAAAAATCAGTAACAGTCCCTGGCGCTCCAGTTCTACATGTCCAGAAAAACCTGAATGTTGTTGGTGATATTCAAGAAACCGAGCTAAGCTGGTCAAGCTTTATACATAGCCAACAAAAGAAATGTGGTCCAATAGTTACTGTTGTAATGGTGTCATCATTGGATGTCAAGGTATGGTCTTCTAAGTGTCTCCTGTTTTGTTGTTGGAAGATATAATAATCAAGTAGACTTCCAAAATAGTGATGTATACTCTACAAGATGTAAATTTATTCTCCTAAAATCCCTAATAACTAGATACTGGCTAGACATGTTACTGAGTATGTGAAATATGTATATATTTATAAACTAGCTAATGACTAATATTATTGCAGTACCTAACAGTTTCATAACCACATTAATATCATCTGAATTATATTAAAGGCTTGAATTGCAGATAAACTGTTTTAATTTTGTCACTTAAAGTGCAATATTCATGCTCCCCAAAGTTTTTTTCTCGAATGTTTATATAGTTTATGATTTTGTCTACCCATTTATCAAAAACATTTGACGTCAAGAATAAAAATTAAAGTTTCTTTTTTTATTGCTATGGATTTAAGCTACCGTAAATGGTAAAAATAAGTGCAAGATCTGTTTCGGTCACATTTGGTAATAGCGACGCTCAGCTTCTGATCAGTGTCAGACAATATCCATCAGTTTTAAACTTTTAATTGAAATCCAGTTATTGAAAATTATATTTTTTAATCATAACAAATTAGTTTCTTTTAGTGTTTTTTTTTCTTTCTCCAATTTTTCAGATTACAAGCAACTTGGGGACCCAGTTTTCTGGTTTATCAGATGATCAGCTTCAGAATATGATAATCTACATCAATGACACAGAAACAAATTATCCATACTGTGACCTTGTTAAAGTCAACTTCAACATTGCAGAAATAATTTCATCTGATAGTGAGGATGTTGACCGCTGTATGTCATTGGCTAAACAGATACAGTTTATGTTAGAAAAGAACTTGGTGAAAGTTCTAGAGATGATAGCAGATTATAACAGTGCACTTATACCAAGGGGACTAGAGAACCATGAGGAGGATGTACAGAAAGCTGTAATAGCAAAACTAGTAAATAGTCTGTCAAATAAATTTGTTGTGAAAGATTTCTCGCCAGAAAGTGGAAGAGGTAAGGTATCTTTAAAATGGAATGATGAAACTTTCATGAATGATAACATTAAAGGGACTCCATTGAGGTCTTTTGACATGATTGGATTCAGAATATATTTTTATATTTGTGCCCCATCTGATTAAGTTCTAGACCAATAAGTTGCATGCAAAATTTAGGATCGTACCATCACCCTGTTTTTCCAGAATTTTCATTTTTATCATGAAATAATACCCAAAAATGAAATACTCGGATTAGGCTAAGAAATGAACAAAAAATTATATTATTTTAATTTTATTCTGAGTATACTTTATTATTATTTACAGATTTTTCCATTTTAAGTGCTTCTCTTTATCTACGGTATGTTAATTTTCACATTTTATGCTTTTAGGCTTTTTAACCTCAGTGGAGCTCCTTTAATAAATCTTGTTTCAAGCTTTTTCACCAAAAGTACATGTATCAGTGTTTTACATGGTTTATCAATGAATTCTAGTGTAATACAGTGACAAACATTGTTATTATAGTTCAGAAACAGTGATATAGTAGTTGAAACTATGTAATAGTTACAGCTTTACATTGTTTGTTCAATGAGATAATAATTCTTTAAAAAATTCTTTTGTTTTGTAATGAAGATTTGATTACAAATTATTATCAAATATAAGATACATGTTTAATCTTAATGCAGATAAAGCAGTGGTGGAACCATCGGACAGAGATTTAAGCAGACTTGCAAAAGCTGTTGGTGATGGCTGGGAAAAGTTGGCACCACCTCTAGGAATACGAGGTACAGATATTGATGAGATAAAACATTCTAATCAGAGTACACTATCAATGATATTGAATATGTTTTATCGATGGAGGCAAAAAGAGGAGAAACCAAGACTAGATTTTCTTCTACAACTCCTAGAGCAACATAGTTCATCTGTTACTTCAATTGACATGGCTGAAGTTAAAGGTTAGGTTTGCATGTATGATTTCATCTACAGAAATATCTGCTTATGTTTTTTTCTAAATCATGATCTTAGTGATTTTATGCTTGAAAGAGAGGCTGAGTTTTAATCACATTTTTAATTAAAAAAAAAAAAGTGTTAAAAAATCCATATTTATGCCCCCCTTCGAAGAAGAGGGGGTATATTGTTTTGCTAATGTCGGTCTGTCTGTCTGTCTGTCAGTCCGTCGGTCTGTCCGTCGGTAGACCACATGGTTTCCGCTGATTATCTTGAAAAGTATTTATCACAAAGTCTTCATATTTCACATATTGATTGGTCATGACTAGTAGATGACCCCTATTGATTTTGGGGTCACTAGGTCAAAGGTCAAGGTCACAGGGGCCTTAAATGTCAAAATGGTTTCCGCTGATTATCTTGAAAAGTATGTATCACAAAGTCTTCATATTTCACATAGTTATTGGTCATCACTAGTAGATGACCCCTATTGATTTTGGGGTCACTAGGTTAAAGGTCAAGGTCACAGGGGCCTTAAATGTCAAAATGGTTTCCGCTAATTATCTTGAAAAGTATGTATCGCAAAGTCTTCATATTTCACATAGTGATTGGTCATCACTAGTAGATGACACCTGTTGATTTTGGGGTCACTATGTCAAAGGTCAAGGTCACAGGGACCTTAAAATGTCAAAATGGTTTCCGCTGATTATCTTGAAAAGTATGTTTCACAAAGTCTTCATATTTCACATAGTGATTGGTCATCACTAGTAGATGACCCCTATTGATTTTGGGGTCACAAGGTCAAAGGTAAAGGTCACAGGGGCCTTGAATGTCAAAATGGTTTCCGCTGATTATCCTGAAAAGTATTCATCACAAAGTCTTCATATTTCACATAGTAATTGGTCATAACTAATAGATGACCTCTATTGATTTTGGGGTCACTAGGTCAAAGGTCAAGGTCACAGGGGCCTTAAATGTCAAAAGGGTTTCCGCTGATTATCTTGAAAAGTATTCATCACAAAGTCTTCATATTTCACCTAGTTATTGGTCATAAGTAGAAGATGATGACCTCTATTGATTTAGGGGTCATTAGGTCAAAGGTAAATGTCACATGGGCCTTAAAAGTCAAAATGGTTTCCGTTGATTTTTCCATAATTGAACACTTCCATGTACCCATTTTTGGCAAGTTTCTGTAATAAAATTACCAATTATGTGAGTCAATGGCTAGAAAGGGGGGTATATGTGTCTTCCGACATTCTTGTTTATTTTGAAACTATCTAAATATATTGAAAATTTACATCATTCAAGGTCACTTTTTAGGCATACATTGCTTGAAATAAGAAACACCATTTATATGTGTGGTTCATCATCAGAAAAAGGTGAATGTTTTAAAGTTCCAAATTTAAACATAACTGTGCTATACATGTATTTATCTGTTGAATAAAAACATTTTTGTTCCCATTCTACAGCAATGAAAGCCGAAATGTTAGTACCTTCATCACATTCAGAGAAAGAGGTCATGTTCCATAGGAAACTAAAGGACTTTGTAGTAAAGCAGACTAAATGCAATATATGTGATGCACTGTCTAAAAGGTATGGCTTATCTGCTAACCTAGTCAATGATTTCCTCAATGACGATCTCTGTGGATACGAGACAAAAGTAACAGAAATGATGAAAACCATGAGCTTACCTAACTGGTCTCTTGATGCAGTACACGATTGTAAAAGTTTTGCACGTACATGTGGCAGTAATTTGACGAAGATTATTCAAGAAACAGAAGACTATATGAAAGCTAAGAGGGAATATTTGACCATTATCAAGAAGCTGCAGTTTGAACTGGTAGGATTGCTTCAACAGACGGAGGTTCCTATAGAGACACCTATACCCGACTTGCCTAAACTTTCTAATGAACTTCAGCATGCTTTACTGAGTGAAAGGTGCATTTTCATTTACTTCTTTTGTCCTCTTTGCCCCATGATTTTTGTGCCCCCACTGTAGGGGGGGGGGGCATGTAGATTTACCCTTGTCTGTCTGTCTGTCCTTCCTTCCGTCCGTCCTTTCTCTTTTGTGTAGCACGTAACTCAAAAAGTATTTGACCTAAAGTCATGAAACTTAATGGGAATGTTGATCAGCATGTGCAGTTATGCACCTGGGTATTTTCATGTGGATTTATGTAGTATTTTAAGAGTAATTGCCCTTGACTTAGTAAAAATTTGCAATTTTCAACTTGTGTCGCACATAACTCAAAAAGGATTTGACCTAGAGTCATGAAACTTTACAGGAATGTTGATCAGCATGTTTAGTTGTGCATATGGGTATTTTCTTGTGGATTTATATAGTATTTTTAGAGTTATTGCCCTTTACTTAGTAAAATTTTGCAATTTTCAACTTGTCGCATGTAACTCAAAAAGGATTTGACATAGAGTCATGAAACATTACCGGAATGTTGCTCAGCATATGTAGTTGTGCACCTTGGGTTTAGCTTGTGGATTTATCCAGTATTTGTAGTTATTGCCTTTGACTTAGTAAAAACCGTTTCATTATGTTGTGTTCTTTGTTCCTTGAGTGCTTAAGTTAGAATCAACCAACTTTACAGGAATAATGATCAACATCACTAAATTACAGGAATAATGATCAACATCACTGTGGAGCTATGCACCTGGGACTTTGCATGTGGGTTTTTTTTTCAGTTTTGTTAGAGTTATTGCCCTTGACTTACAGTAGTATAAATTTGCAATTTTCAACTTGTTCATGCATAGCTGAAAAAGTATTTGACTTGTAGGCCTGAAATTTTACAAGAATGTTGGTCAGCATGTGTACTTATGCACCTTGGGGTTTGCTTGTGGATTTATTCAGTATTTGTGAAGTTCTTGTCCTTTACTTAGTAAAAGATTTTTAGTTTTCAACTTGTGGTACATGTAGTCCAAAAAATATTTGACCTAGAGTTATAAGATTGACAGAACAGTGGGGAGGGGGGGGAGGGCACACGTGTCCTATGGACACATTTCTAGTTAAAATCTTATTTAAAAAGAAAAAGAGTTTTTAGCGAGAGTTAATTGCCGCTTTGTCTCACTTTTACATACCGTATCTTGTAGCACCATCATTTATTAACTGATATTAAAGATGAAGTTTTGTTACTTTTGACCTCTACCATTCTGGTCAATTTGCTCAAGATAAATTTTACTGTCAGCCTAAAAGAAATTGTCTTCATTGTAAGGCCTTTTACTGGTTAGTTATCCAGGAAAGCCAGTTAAGTGGACAAACTACCAAGATATGACCAAAAATGTGTACAGTAGCATAGATTAGTCAGACAAACAAACAAACTGAAAATATGTTGGATTTTATGTGCTTTTTTGTGATACAATGCAATGTGTACAACCTCATACATCATATTACACTACTTGAGATAATTTATGATGTCTTAGAACACATTGTTTGACCTCACTGATAACAGTTACGACCTCAGTTATAACAGTTATGTCTTTAATTATGCTAGTCTAATAAACACAGTGTAGTGTGTAATGTCTTAATGTTTTTTTTTGTGAGTTTGGGTCTATTCTGAGGGACATGTATTTCCATGACGATTTAATTTAAAGTGATGCATTCACCCTTAACTGTGGTGAAAATGTTTTGCCTGTACTACTTGATAAACAAGTTAGTTCTGGAAATCAGAAATATTTGCCAGCATATGACATAAAAAGTATTAGGCTTACTCAATTAATTATAAAGAACCAGGTTTTTTATCAAAAAGTTGTTTGTATTCCAAGTTTGTTTTCAAAAAACCTAGATTTCATTCTAAATTTACATTTCTGATCAGCATTCCAGAGGTGTATGGATGTGGGATCATGTGGGGAGATCTCACATTGCATTTGACAGAAAAACTTAGTGAAGACAGTTTAAAACGAGTGAAAGTCCTTCTACTGAGACATAGATACACATATGGTTATGCTACACAGCTTATACAACCTCCAAAGGCTGCTGCGGGCTCTAATAGTATCAAACCGGGATTATCATTACGAGCAGAGAAGTTAAACCCTGAACCAGGAGATGATTATAACTATGGCAGTATTGGCTGTGTTGTGAATGTAAAGTCAACAGTTAAGAAACAAGATCAAGGTAAATTACATTGTATAACGTGTGCTCATTGCGTGCACAAATGTAAAGAACTTATTGCTGTACATCCTGAACTTGGTGCAGGCTATACAGCGTTTGGAAAAAAGAAATATGAAATATATCGCCCAGATAGCATAGATGTTGCTCTGATAGAGATTCTTGAAGATAAAATAAAACATTGTTGTTCTGGTTTGCGGACATCTGAAAAACCCAAAACACAATTCAGTGACTCTCTGCTTGAACAGACAATGGAAGAAAGCTCTGAAAAATGGTCATTTTATGGTGGAGCAATATTGAGACGGAAGGTCTTCAAATTTGGCAGCGCAACGGGATTAACTTGTGGAGTATGTATGTGTGATGATTATAAAACTAGGGAAATTATGGAAAATATTAATCAGAACCCAAGGAGAAACTTTGACACAGATGTGAATATCTTGATTGAGCCTGTGGCAGACAACCCAAAGCCACCAGGTAGTGTGACAGCTAGCGGAAGTCAGGATAGACAGCAAGATCAAGGTATTTGTACACAATATTATTTTTATTACAGATTTTGCATAAAAAATAATATCTACATATTTGCAACCTTTAGTTCTATTTTTAGGCAAATAACAATACTATGTCATGAATTTTGATAAAAAAAAATGGCTTGAATTTGATCGAAATATGTTTTTTGTAAGGACCTGTGTTCAAGGACCAGTTCTTATTCCCCTATCAACTATTGACGATAGTAAAGCATGCTGTGTAAATTTGGACAGTGTGATCTACATTAAAGGAAAAAACAAAAACAAGAAAAACAACAACAACAAAAAAAAACAACTTTACCTGTCACTGAAGTTGATTAATACCACCACCAGCAACTTTGACTTTTTGAAAAATAAGTGGTCTAAAGAAAAATTTAAACTCAACCTTAGTAGTAAATGGAGTATCAACTGTGTACAAAGATTAGAATTATTTCAATTAATTGCAATACCAACTGGGGTCTTCATACAAACTTGCTATACACCAAGTTTGATTATAAAATCTCATTCCTAACTCTAGTTATTGCCCGCAAACCATTTTTCTATTTTTAGTAAGGGGGACCTTGACCCCAGGGGGTTCAAATGCAATGCCAACAGGGGTCTTCATGTAAGCTTGCTATATACCATGTTTGATTACAATACCTCATTCCTATCTCTAGTTATTGTCTGGAAACCATTTCTCTATTCTTAGTAATACTAACCTTGACCTCAGGGTCTTCATATAAGCTTGCTATTCACCAAGTTTGATTACAATGTCTCATTTATTACTGTACATATTGTCTGGAAACCATTTTTCTATTTTTAGTAATGGTGACCTTGTCCCCAGGGGTCCAAATGCAATACCAACTGGGGTCTTCATATAGGCTTGTTATACACCAAGTTTGATTACAATATCTTTTCTATTTTTAGTAATGGTGACCTTGACCGCAGGGGTCCAAAAGCAATACCAACCGGGTCTTCATACAAGCTTGCTATACACCAAGACTGATTACAATATCTCATTCCTAACTCTAGTTATTGTCTGGAAACCATTTTTCTGTTTTAAGTAATGGTGACCTTGACCCCAGTAGGTCCAAACGCAAAACCAAACGGGGTCTTTATATAAGCTTGCTATACACCAAGTTTGATTACAATATCTAATTCCTAACTCTAGTTATTGTCCGGAAACCATTTTTCTATTTTTAGTAACGGTGACATTGACCCCAGGGGATCCAAATGCAATACCAACTGGGGTCTCCACATAAGGTTGATATATACCAAGTTTGATTGCAATACCTCATTCCAAACTCTAGATGTCCAGAAACCATGATATGCACTGACGGACGGACCTACCGATCATCAAGCTGACTCCTATATACGCCACCCTAAACTTCGTTTGTTGGTTATAAAAATGACCAAAAAAAACCCAAAACAAAACTGACCTTGAACCTTGAAGAAATTAACTAAATATATGTAGAAATCATATTGAATTCTTATTAATATTTTATTGTTGTATTGATTACAGTGGAGAAATTTTCCGAGGAGTGTGATAGTGGTTCAGTGATATTTGATGATGATATGGGGGAAAATGTGGTTGTGCTGGGACTACTCTATGGTGGTATTACAGAGAAGGACAGTGGTAAATTCCTATACAGCTACGCGTCACACATCATGAAACTAAAGGAATTACTGGAGAAAGAAAATGATATATTAATAGAACCAGGTATAGTGTATATCTACATGTTTTATTATTGTATGACAGTTGTTGTAAAGGATTTTGGATAACGACTAGACTTTTCAAGTATGCGCATCTATATATCTTTTATTTTCATACATCAGCAAATAACAAAGCGTTTCTCGACTATAATGTCTTTAACATTGAAACCTTAAAATTACAGTTTAAGCTTTAACATTTAACGCCCCTACATATAACGCAACTTCTTTTTAATTTATAACGGAAGTTCTTTTTAAAAACATTACAAACAGTTACGTCAAAATGACGTGCTAAACTGTTCACAGCGTTATGTTAAATAAATTGGCACCAAACAACGTTTAATGTAAGAAATATATTGTAATTATACCCCCACCACAAAATGTGGGGGGGGGGGGGCTATAATGGATTCGCTTTGTCGCGTCGGTCGGTTGGTCCGTCGGTCCGTCCGTCTCCATTATCGTGTCCGCTCTATAAATCCTATACCAATTGAAGGATTTTCTTCAAACTTGGCTCAAATGTTCACCTCAACAAGGGGATGTGCAGAACCTATGTTGCCCATGTGTCAGCTCAAGGTCAAGGTCACAATTGAAGGTCAAATATCAAACAATCAAATATTAGACAGTATGTCGTGTCCGCTCTGTAAGTCCTACACTAATTGAAAGATTTTCTTCAAACTTGGCTCAAATGTTCACCTCAACAAGGGGATGTGCAGAACCTATGTTGCTCATGTGTCAGCTCAAGGTCTAGGTCACAATTGAAGGTCAAATATCAAACAATCAAATATGACACAATATGTTGTGTCCGTTCTGTAAGTCTTACACTTATTGAAGGATTTTCTTCAAACTTGCCTAAAATGTTCACCTCAACAAGGGGATGTGCAGAAACCATGTTGCCTATGTGTCAGCTCAAGGTCAAGGTCACAATTTAAGGTCAAATATCAAACAATTAAATATTACACAGTATGTCGTGTCCGCTCTGTAAGTCCTACAGTAATTGAAAGATTTTCTTCAAACTTGGTCCAAACGTTCACCTCAACAAGGGGATGTGCAGAACTTATGTCACCCTTTTGCCGGCTTAAGTTCAAGGTCACATTTGAAGGTCAAAAATTGACTTAGAAAATATTCTTAAATTTTAACATTTATTTGAATATTTCTGAATCTAGAAAAGGTATTTGCCTGAAACTTAAAATATATATGAAGTGTCACAATGAAGATATGCTGGTCAAGTTCATAACTCTGTATTGCATTTTAACAAAGTTATGATCCTTTCTAAGTCTTCAAATTTACATACAATCAAATATTAGACAATATGTCATGTCCACTCTATAAATCCTATACTTATGGAAGAATTTTCTTCAAACTTTACTCAAATGTTCACCTCAACAAGGTTACATGCAGAATCTATGTCACCTTTGTGCTGGCTAAAGGTGAAGGTCACACTTGAAGGTCAAAAATTGACTTAGAAAATGTTCTTAAATTTTAACATGTACTTGAATATTTCTGAAACTAGCACAGGTATTTGCTTGAAGCTTAAAATACTTAAAATATATGAGGTGTCGCAAATAAGATATGCAGGTCAAGTTTCATAACTCTGTATTGCATTTGGCAAAGTTATGCCCCTTTTTAAGTCTTTAAATTTACATACAATCAATACTAGACAATATGTTGTGTCCGCTCTTTAAATCTATACTAATGGAAGGATTTTCTTCTAACTTTACTCAAATGTTCACCCCAACTGGGCGATATGCAAAACCCATCTTACCCTTGTGCCAGCTTAAGGTCAAGACCACACTTGAAGGTCAAAAATTGACTTATAAAATGTTAAGTACATTGGGAAAATGAAAGGTTATTTGTAACTGTTTGGAACATGATTTAATGATATATATTTATACTATTACCTGTACAATTAGTCTTTTTTTCACCAGAGATAATTTCTTTTTATGTATTTGTGCCACTTAAGTTATTCCCTTAACCACATTTCCAAGTCGTCTTCTGTCAAGGACATTGGTGGGGGTATGAATCGCATTCAGCGATAGTTCTAGTAAGAATGGGAACTAAAAGATTCTTACAGTTGGTGGTCACTACAATTAAGTAGAAGATAAATTTACATGGATTTCAATTAAGGTATCATTGTACATGTATCTACATCTAATCTATCTAATTCATTTTAATCCTTTGGCATTTACATCTTTTAATCTTTATGCTCCTGACAGAAAAACCTTGGTAGAGGGGATGAGGGCTTGTCTGTGTGTCACCATGCATATGTAAGTGTGATAAGTAGGCTAGTAGCAGATATCAACTTGGATTTTTATGCTCCCCTAAGGGAGAGCATATAGCCGCCACCTTGTCCGTCCTTCCATCTGTCCTTCTGTCCGTCCGTTGCCTTGTCCGGAGCATAACTTGAAAACCCTTGGAGATAATTTGTTTAAACTTCAAACAGTGGTAGAGGGCAATGAGGGGGAGTGCAGTGTCAAAGAACCACAACTCTATTTTGCCCAGTAATGAAATTATCTCCCCTTTTAGAAAAATATGGACATTACTCTAAAACTATAAAAGATATCAACATGAAACTTTGTAGGTAAAAAGATCACAATGGGCAAATGTGCTTTGCACAAGAAACATAACTCTTTTTTTGCCTAATTTTGGAGTTATTGCCCTTTGTTAATTTTAACACTTTGAACTTTGTCCGGAACATAATTTTTGAATTATCTCCCCTTTTAGAAAAATCTTGTCCGGGACATAACTCTTAAACTATAAGAGATATCAATATGAAACATTGTAGGTAGATAGATCTCATTGGGAAGAAGTGCAGTGCAAAAGAACCATAACTCTGTTAAGCCTCATTTTTGAATAATCTCCCCTTTTAGAAAGATCTTGTCCAGGATATAGCTGTTAAAGTATAAGAGATATCAACATGAAACTTTGTAGGTAGATATATCTCAACAGGTAGAAGTGCAGTGCTCAAGAACCATAACTCTGCCTTGCCTAATTTTGGAGTTATTGCACTTTGTTAATTTTAACACTTTGAACTTTGTCCGGAACATAATTCTTGAATTATCTCCCCTTTTGGAAAAATCTTGTCCGGGACATAACTCTTAAACTATAAGAGATATCAATATGAAACATTGTAGGTAGATAGATCTCATTGAGTAAAATGCAATGCAAAAGAACCATAACTCTGTTAAGCCTCATTTTTGAATTATCTCCCCTTTTAGAAAAATCTTGTCCAGGACATAGCTGGTAAAGTATAAGAGATATCAACATGAAACTTTGTAGGTAGATATATCTCAACAGGTAGATGTGCAGTGCAGAAGAACCATAACACTGCCTTGCCTAATTTTGGAGTTATTGCACTTTGTTTATTGTTACTTTTTGAACTTTGTCTGGGACATTACTCTAAAATTATAAAAGATATCAACATGAAACTTTGTTGGTAGATAGATATCATTGAGTAAAAGTGCAGTACAAAAAAACATAAATCTGTTTTTGCCCAATTTTTGAATTATCTCCCCTTTAAAAAAAATCTTGCCTGGGAAATAACTCTAAAACTACAAGAGATATCAACATGAAACTTTGTAGGTAGATGGATCTCAATGGGTAGATGTGCACTGCTTAAGAAATTTAACTCGGCCTTGCCAAATTTTGTAGTTAATGCCCTTTGTTCAATTTTACATTTTGAAGTTTGTCCGGGACATAACTTGAAAACCATAAGAGGGATCAGCAAGAAACTTTGTAGGTTGATAGATGGTATTGATTAGAAATGCAGTGCAAAGAACAGTAACTCTGGCTTGCCTAATTTTGGAATTATTGCACTTTGAACTTTTTCCAGGGACTTAACTCTGAAACTTCAAGAGGTGTACTTTCCTGTGTCCAAAACCTATTTGGGGAGCATCACCCGGCTCAAACCAGGCTCTTGTTTTTAAGGTGGATAGATGTTATAAAGGAGGAGTGCAGTGTACAAGAATAATAACTCCATTGACTGCTTCTTGTTTTATTTATTGTAGTTAAGCTGACATTAAGATCTTTTTATTTTACAATTTCAGCATTAAGCAGCAAAGCAAGTACTCAAGGTGCAGGCATATAAAGATAAAAAACATTTTGTTTCATGTGGATGGAGATGTATAACTTTATTGTGACAATTTGCCACAAAACCTCAACTCCTACAATCATTTCATGAAAGATTTTTTTGTTACTGGAATAATGTGCAGAACTAAATCAATCAAACAATTTAGTTCTCAAATCTCTTTTCATATATGAAATTTTAGATTCCTTGAGTAGAAGATGCATTATGTTCAAAGTTGATAATTTAAAAATCTACTATACTGTCTGTTTTTGAATGTAAAAGAAACATATTTTGCAAACACACATAGAAGATAGATATGTTACATTTAAAACTCTACTTACTACTGGTAAAGACCATAATTATGAATACATAGTGTCATTTAAAAAAGGGCAGTTTTTTTAGAAAGTACCAAATTAGCTAGACCAGAAATAGAGAATCCAACTTCCAAATATAATTGGTGCAGTCTCTTTTTCAAATTACACATATTCAGATGAATTTTCAAGATTTCAATTAATTTCTGCAATAGAAATATTTTACCTAAAGTTGACCATAGTATATCTTTAAGTAAAAGTGGTTGTTGTATTTTTTGTTTATTTGACATTTATGTACTAAAAGCCAATATACATGTATTTAGATACTTTATATTTCTAAATTTAGTAGTTGTTTTCCTTTTAGATGTATTTCTTGTTTTATGTGTTTTTTCAACAATTCCAAATGCCAAGTTACAACATAGTTGATAGCTAGAGCTTCTTGTTCACATTTTAAGTTACACTTCATTTTTCCTGAGGGCAACAACTTCAGCATAAATAAATACATTCATACAGAATTCCTTCATATAGAATTGAAAAAAGGCAGCAAATTCAACATAAATTAATACATTTATACATAATTCTTTGTAAAAGAAATGAAAACAGGCAGCAAATTCAAAATACATTAAAACATAATTCATTAAATATAGAATTGAAAAGGGCAGCAAATTCAGCATAGATTAATGAAATTATATATAGAGTTGCAATACAGGAACCAATTTCAGCATAGTTTAATTAATTGATATAGACTTGCAAACTGGCAGCATTTCAGCATAGTTTAATAGATTTATATAGATTTGCAATTCAGGCACCAATTTCAGCAAAGTTTTATAAATTTATATAGAATCACAAAAACACTAACCAATTTCAGCATAGTTTATATATTATATTGAATTGCAAAAATAGGCACAAAATTCAGTATAGTTGAATAAAATCTATATTGAATTGCAATACAGGCACCTATTTCAGCACAGCTCAAAGAAATTTATACAGAATTTCAAAAAAAGGCAGCAAGAATATTTTGATCTCAATTTATATAGGTTTGTCATACAGAAAAATCATATTTCTTCGCAAAACGTTGCATAAAAATTCATACATGTACATATGTATGTATATACACTGGGCATTGTTGATCATGCATGGAAATTAGAGATGCCTGATTTGGTAAAGTAGCTTTTTAAATTCAGCTTCAAAAAACTGACAAACTTATAAAACCATTTTTTTCATTTTAGGCATAAGTTTAAAGCAAGAAATGTTAAACATATGTTGCTCAATGAAAACAGGTTGTTCTACAATAAAAAAAATCATGCTATTCATCATCAGAGCTGTTGTGATAAAGCTACTGACTTCTATAATATACATTGAAAAAAGACCATATCCCATCCAGTTAAATTTATAACTTTGTATACTTCACAAGTTGATATAAAATAGCCTTGTAAAATTGAATATTTAACAGTTTCTTTGTTTTTAGTTGTTTTTTTTTTGTTGTTTTTTTATATGCCAGAAAGAATTTCGGACATATTATGTTATACCCCCTGGCGTCCGTCCGTCCGTTAGCAATTTGGTTTCCGGAGCATAACTTAAGTTCCATTTGGCCCACAATATTAAAACTTCATAGGATGATTGTCCATATTGGGTAGAAGACCCCTATTGATTTTGGGGTCATCAGGTCAAATGTCAAGGTCACTATGACCTTAAAACTGAAAACAGTTTCCGGAGCATAACTTAAGTTCCATTTGGCCTACCGTGTTCAAACTTCATAGGATGATTGTCCATATTGGGTAGAAGACCCCTATTGATTTTGGGGTCATAAGGTCAAGGTCACTATGACCTTAACACTGAAAACAGTTTCCGGAGCATAACTTAAGTTCCATTTGGCCTACAGTGTTCAAACTTCATAGGATGATTGTCCATATTGGGTAGAAGACCCCTATTGATTTTGGGGTCACAAGGTCAAAGGTCAAGGTCACTATTACCTTAGAACTGAAAACAGTTTCCGGAGCATAACTTAAGTTCCATTTGGCCTACAGTGTTCAAACTTCATAGGATGATTGTCCATATTGGGTAGAAGACACCTTTTGATTTTGGGGTCACAAGGTCAAAGGTCAAGGTCACTATTACCTTAGAACTGAAAACAGTTTCCGGAGCATAACTTAAGTTCCATTTAGCCCACAATATTCAAACTTCATAGGGTGATTGTCCATATTGGGTAAAAGACCCCTATTGATTTTGGGGTCACAAGGTCAAGATAACTATTACCTTAAAACATAAAACAGTTTTCGGAACATAACTTAAGTATAATTTGGCCTACTGTGTTTAAACTTCATAGTATAATTGTCCATATTGGGTAGAAGACCCATAATGATTTTGGGGTCACAAGGTCAAAGGTCAAGGTCACTTTTACCTTAGAATTGAAAACAGTTTATGGGGCATAACTTAAAGTTCCATTTGGACCACAAACTTCAAAGGAGGATTGTTATTTGAAGGAGGTAATACTTTATTTTACTCCCATGTCTTACAAATGCTTCATCTTTAGTAAAAAAAAAAAAATCACTTTCGGGCATATAATGCTCCGCCTAGCGGTGCTCTTGTTTGTATTTCACATATTTGAACTTTACGTTCTTGTATACACGTAAAGAATGTACATGTATTTGTTTTATGTTTCATATGTTTTGATCAAAGTATTAAACATTTTTTAGATTTTTCGTTTTAGGCACAACGCTGCTATATTATTATAGGTTTATTATGATAACATTGTAATACTTGACATGATATTGTGAATAAATTAGTCTTTACTTTAATATTAATTATTGAGTGAATGTAGATTATCATTAGGTATATAACTATAACAATGTTTGTATTTAGAAATGTTATAGATTATCATTAGGTATATAACAATGTTTGTATTTTGAAATGTTATAGATTATCTCTAGGGGTGTAGCATTTAAATGGGTTCAGTCAGATTTTAGCCAACAAAACCTCTTAAAAAATTTAATAACCTGTAATTGAGGTTAGTATTAGACCATTAGCCAAAGAAGTATAAGAATTATTTTATATATTACCTTTGTTTAACTATGACAAGATCTGACTTAATGGGGGGGTATAGACCTGTGTTTTTTCTTGTTTTTTGTCTTGTTTTTTTGTGTGCCATAGTAGAAAATAATTACTCTTTAATACGATGTTGTTTAATATTGTGAAGTACATGTACAACAAAATACGTACTATATGTCATATCTTGTCATAAAGAAACAAAGTTATTGTTAAAAATCTTAAAGTTCTTTAAGTACATGTATGGTGGGTCAAAGGTTTAACACTGTTACTTGGCTCCCATTTAAATGGTTAACATTTTTGCTAACCTATACACCCCTAATTATCACTGTAAATTTTGTTTTATATTTGAGTGAATGTGGACTTCCAGTAATTGTATTATTATTTTGTACTTATTACTTACATCCAATCATTGTTCCAGATTAATACCATGTGACTGTCCAATATATTTTCTGTCATAGGGGGACAACACATGCTCGGATATAGAAAAAAAACAGCTCTTTTATTTCACTTACAAAACCCTTTTAAATGTGAATTTAAGAATAAGAAAAAATATTGATTATATTATTTTACATGAATTTTCTATATATATATATAGTGTTTATATTATTCAGTATTGTTTATTATTCAAATAAATGTGAATATTTGGTTTATATAATTGTAATACCGTAAAATCCCAATTTAACGCCCCTACCCTAATAAACACCCCCCTCCCCCAGCCACTTTAAAAAACCTTGTGTATAATTTAAACAAAGAAAATAAAAGAAAATCAAGAAACTCTCTTACTAGTTTGGCGATTTATAGTATATCCAATATCATTCAATTTATGAAAAATATCTGAGTGCTTTAAAGTTCACTATAACAGAGTGTAGTCTGCACACACACTACCGATATATCTTTGCACCTGGACAACTACACAGTTCTGAAAGTGGGCCTGTTGAAACATCGTAAATTAGGAAAGAGTAGCATTGATTATGTCAGATTGTCGGCAATTTCGAAGGTGCCAACTGCAAGCAGGATCGGAGGAAAATTAGAGAGAGCTTGCGGTGTAGATCAAATGTATCCTGGGTTGACAGGATGATGATGTGTTTGTTGATTTGTTTACATTGTTTGAAGAGAGAATTTTTTTTTTAACTCTAAACGCCCCCCCTTTTGAAAAATGTTACGCCCCTGGGGGCGTTAAATCGGGATTTTACAGTATCTAATAGAATATTTTTATATGATAATATTATAATGATATGTAATATTATTAAAATATAATAAATTGATAATATTTGTACTACATAAAATGGTGTTGTATATATATAATACTTATAATAATATTTGTTTCATGAGAAGCTACATATAATGCTTTACCTTTGTCCCTGCCTTTCAATTGTGCTTAGCATAATTTCTTTATATTTATTAATCCAGTTAAAAAAACAATAAAACTGCTTTTTGACAATTTTATTTTTGTACAGTTAAATGATTGAAATGCACTGAAATCTTCTGTGTATGTTATGTTTTTGTCTATACTTGCACTATTATACATGTATATATATTTTAAATTAGCAAATGTTTTATTATTTTTTTTTGTGTAACATTATATACAGATTACTTTTTAATGGCATCAAATGATGTAACAAATATTCTTTTTATGTTGGTAGCCTATTTTGCTCATTCTAAATGGTTTGACCAAATGCTTGTATAATTTGCAAATATTCTTTTTATGTTGGTGCCTATTTTGCTCATTCTAAATGGCTTGACCGAATGCTTGTATAATTTGCTATGTAGACTTTGATTAAGAAGTAATGAACATGTACCTGAGATCTCCAAGTATGATTATAACTTGATAAACTTTACTTCCATTTCAGAACACCTTTATCTTCTTGCTCCACACATGCATGCAACTATTTTGTCTAATAGATACATTTTTATACCATTACCTTAGCTGTATATTGTTTTCACTGACTAATTGTTAATGAATTTGTAAAAATCTTTGTTTGAAATATTTTTTCACTGTATTCCTTTGTTTTGAACAACCTTGAACATCTTTCTCAAACAGAACATTTGTTCTCGATCTATAGATGTCTATATTAATGTTCTCTGTGCATGTTTCTGTTCTTAGATGTGCAAGTTTGATAATGAGATTTTTTATTTCTTAGATGTAAATGATAACCCTGTTTTATAACTTTGTGATTTATATTTTATCTGGAGTCCTGCAACAATCACATATCATTGATGTGAAGTTAAAATCTGACATGAATCCTAGAGTTTTTTAATTCATATTCTGGTGAAATGGCCAGTGAAATTCTATATTCGATGTCAGGTTTTAATTTTTTACATAAAATGAAATTATTAAAATTAACCTGTTATTGTTGACTCACAAACAAGTATCTGTGATATATGTTATTGTTTTAATTTTGACTATTTTCATATTTTATTCCTAAATGTTTGATAAATATGCATGTTGGTGACTAATTGTAATCCGGGAAGCTCCTGTAGTTTTAAGTGCAAGATTGCTAGTTATTTACCTCAGGTGTAATTGTTAAAATTTGTTTATATAAAGAACCACACAGTCTGGATAATATTAGTAGGATATGATATTGTAAGGGACTCCACTGGGTTTTTTTACATGACAGGACTAGTTGAATTTTCCATTTGATGTAAGTTTACACCAATAACTTGTTTGCAAAATTTCAGATCATTCACTCTCTCCATTTTTCCAGAATGATTATTCTAATTAAAATTACCCATAATTGAAAAGTGTTGCATCACTTTTCACTGAAAACTGGCTAAGAATAGCATAAAAACAAATTTGATTTTCAATTTATTTCAGAGTATATTAAATTTCTTAAGTATATCTTGATTCTTTAAGAGCGCTGATCTATGTAAGAAATTCAAATTTTATGGTTTTAGGGTGGAGTTCCTTTAAGTGCCAAAGGTCTTAAACTGTGCTGTCATGGTGCAGAGGCTAGACTTGCTAAATACTAGCTATTATGGAGATGTATAGGTCTGTGATTAAGTATTGCTAGTATAACTGAAATATTTATTCTCTTACTTTGCAGTGTCCAGTACTTGGGTGTTTGACAAGTTAGGTTACATTTGCACTCTATTTTGAATAATTTTAATCAACCATTTATGTATATCCGGTTTTAATGTTTGCTGAGTGTTGCTATAATTTATTGGTGTTAGAATAACTTGTATATATATTGTTAAGAACTTAGTAATTTATATGATTATCTGTTGTTATATAAACAAGAATAAATTGTGTACATGATTTCTAACACCCATACATGAAATTATACATGAAGAAATAGTGAAAACCGGTGAAAATATTTGTACTACTATTTAGAAGAGTTTTATAATTATTAGACATAAAGTCATGAGATATTTTTTCTATTTGACAATCATTCCGGTCTTTAAGTCATGTGAAACAAAGCATAATGCAATCATGTTATGCATCTTTATAGTTATTAACTTCAGTATTTATATTTATTAACTTTGGTAAAATTGTTTAATGTCAATTTTATTTTAATTTTTTAGTGGTTTATTATTTTAACTGTTAAAAGAGAGAGAAAAAGCAATCATTGAAAATGAAAGCTAAATCAAGCTTTTTTGACTAGTAAGAAAATCTTTCGTTTTACATCACTGTTTTTTTTTTAGCTCCACTTTTTCAAAGAAAACTTCTGAGCTATTGCTACTGTCAGGTTGTGGTACAAAGTGCAGTCCAGAAACTTTAACATTGGCCTTGATTATTTGTTTTCATAATAGATCGTCTTTATATTTGTACACAACAACCCTTTGGACAAAACCTATAAGAATACCAGACTAAACTTGATCTTGACTCATAAATGACCTTGACCTTAAATGTCAAATGTTTGAATTTTTCCCGATTGCTGCTTTAATTGCCAATAACATTGTTATTTATGAATAGATTGTATTCATACTTGAAAACAACAATCCTTTGGACAAATTGGCCTTCACCAAATTTATTCTGACTTTCACTCATCAATGACCTTAGCCTTGACAGTCAAATTGATGAATTTTGCATGATTTTGCTATCATTGGCTATAACTTTGTTATTTATGAACTACCTTTGGGACAAAATCTCTGAAAAGAGATCAAACCCAATTTGACCTTGACTCATCAATGACCTTGACCTTAAAGGTCAAATTATTGTAACTTCGCAGTTTTTGGCTATAATTTACTATAACTTTGTATATTGAATGTATTGTCTTCATACTTTTGCACAACAATGGGTTAAACTTGACTTTGTCTTGAATTTTACCTTTTCATTTCAGGTCAAATCAATTAATTTTGCTACTTAATTGGCCATTACTTTGTTATTTATGGATTTGACTTATACTTGGACAAAGCTGAAATGTTGAATTATTTTGATTTGACCTTGACCTTGAACAAAAGAAAACATGACAAAACCAAAATGTTAAATAATTCTGATATGACTGGCCTTTGTGTGATCTTGATTGTTAAATTGTCAAACCTTTGTTACATACTTACAGGTTTGATTCATAATTAGACAAAGAACACTTTTATCAAAACAAAAAAGCAAAAGAGCACTTATGTCAAAACTGATATGATGATTTATTCAAATTTGACCTTGTGAATGACCATGACCATCAATGTCACAAATGAAATATGAATTTTATTTATTACAAAAAAAAATGTTTTATCATAAGGAATAGTCTTTACTATATTATTTTCTTCTTTTGATGTGTTTGACAGACTTAAGAAAAAAAAGTTGAGCATGACCCAAGCTAGGAAGTGGCTGTTGTTTAATACTGTTATACAATATTTAATGTTTATTTGAAGACTGTAAACTGATAATAAATATATTGCAAGTGTAAGTGACTTGTCATTTTTTCCTTATGAACTTTATTATACTTTCAAAGTTTGTTTGCTACATGCCATATAGTTTCCAAACTGGCAGGCAGCTGGGCAGGCGGCGTCCACTTTTGTCAGGAGCATATCTCCTACATCCATGGAGGTATTTTAATGAAACTTCATAGAAATGTTAACAACTATGAGAAGCTGTGTCTCGCACATGGACCAGACCTCAAGGCCAAAGGTCAAGGTCACAGAGGTCATTGAAAAACGCTTGTCCAGAGCAAAACTTGTACATTCATAGAGGGATTTCAATATAACTTGGCAATAATGTTCGCTATTGTGGGATGGATTGTCACATGCAAAGTATTGGTCCCTGTGGCCAAGGTCAAGGTCACACATTGGGGTCAAAGTTCAGATAATGATATGAAAATGTGTAAAGGGACCATTAAGTCATTATTAATTGTAGGATTGAAACACAAATGGTCATTATCATGATTACTGGTGTGAAACATGTAATTAAGGTTAATATGGTCAAGGTCATTTAAGATGATAAAATATAGAGATTTTGTTCAGAGCATATCTCCTACACATACAGAGGGATTCTAATAAAACTTCAAACAAATGTTCACCGCTATGAGAAACCCTGTGGCGCGCATGCACCAGGCTTCTAGGTCAAAGGTCTAGGTCATATTTAGAGGTCATAGAAAAACGCTTGTCCGGAGCAAAAATTCTACATGCATAGATGGATGTCAATATAGCTGATCACACATGTTCACTATTGTAAGGCAGTGTGTCGCATGCAAAATTTAGGTCCCTGTTTCCAAGGTCAAGGTCACACATTGGAATCAAAGTTCAGATAAAAATATGAAAATGTGTATAGGGACCATTTAGTCATCATTAATTGAAGGATTGAAACACAAATGGTCATTATCATGACTTCTAGTGTGAAACATGTAATTTAGGTAAATATATGCAAGGTCAAGGTCACTTAAGATGATAAGATATAGAGATTTTGTCCAGAGCATATCTCCTACACATACATGTACCACGGATTTATATTTATATTACAGGGATCGGACACTCCCAGTTAACCCTATATAAATGCTTAAATATCTTGTCGTGCACCCGATAAAGGTACATCGATCGATAATTTACCGGCGCGAAGCGTAAATGCCCGTTCGCAACGGATACCTACTTTACAAAATACCATATAGCTTTTTCATTTATTATCCGATTTTGGAAATTTAAAGTTTATTTTGAAGAAAAATACTTGGTTAATTCAAATATCTAATTTATTTTTTAAAGGTACAGTTTATCTGTCCGCAACGACGGTTAAAAAATTAACTTGACGAAATCCGCGGTAAATTTACATTTTTTTTATATAAAAAGCAGGTATTTGAAATTTATTATTACGGTACCATAATACTTTCAGTTTCAAAACAAAAAAGAAGCCGATGTAAGTTATTCACAGATGATCAAAGATGCAATATTTAAGATTTGTTGGGTTATGTAGTCAAATTTATTAACGCACAATTGTTTTACGGGTAATGTATTGCGGCCTTTACACGTGAAGAAAATTTATTCATTTTTTAGTACAAATTATTGCCGAGATTGTCAATATTGCCATTATCATAGAATATTTAAATTTCATTCATCATTTATATCATTATTATTTTTTGTAAATCTGTTTTCAAATGTCGGTGCAGTGAAGTAGACAATCATCGTAACAGTAAAGTTCTCTCGTGTGGCTGTCTCGATTCCGGCCTTTTTAATGTCACTCGTATATTTTAATCCGTATATTTTAATTATTCTTTTTATTTGAATGCCTGTAGAAAGATATTTATTATACATGTACTTTTTAATGTAACGCTAGAAAAACAATAAAAAAATTTACAGTTTGAGTCAGTATTTTGCGAAATAAAAGTAACTGTTGATTATTTTTTACACATCGCTTAAATTTCTTTCAAGTCTAATTACTTTTGAAGGGGGGTAAGTGATAATTAAAAAACTTTATTTCCAAACTTTCATTACCAGGTTACATGTGATAATTGCAACACTCAATCTTCAAAAACAAATATAATTTGAATGTATATTTTGTATATGCGCGGTCTTTAACTACAGTTCATGGCATGTGTGGTAAGAAAATGATTCTGAAGAGGATATATATAAATACAATGTAAATCTATTTTCTTTATTAACATTTAAAAATGAAATTGAAAATATACAACTAAATTTGTATAGTCCTTTCTCTGAAAAATGATGAAAATAAACATGTGATAAATAAATCATTTGACGTGAATTGTTTAGGATATCTATGAAAAAATTATGTTTCAAAATAAAAAATAATATTATAAAACAGCTGTTCTCTATGCCAATAAAAGTTTCTTCCTTGCCAATCTAATGAATTCATCTATATAGGAATGCTTGTCTAGAATGATCTGAAAATATATTTAATACACTTAATAGTAGAATATTTACTATATTTATACTAATATACAGGTAATCAAATAAAAAATGTACAAATCATTTGGAAATAATTCACAGAAATAAAGACACATTTCAAACATGAATTTCTTTAAAAGTTTTTTAGCAATCAAGAAACGTTTTTTTGCAATGCCATCATTAAACCATGTCAAAAATAATTATCTTATTCTGAATCGCGGTAATAATTCGTGCTTGAAGTAAAAGGGCGGCGAAGTGTAGAGAGTATGCCTAAACAATAGGCGAATATTTTTTAAATTAGGTACTTTTTAACTAAGCGTTGCAGCGTTCTATCAGCATATTTTCATATAATAATACTTTAGCGACACAATATAATACTGTATCAATACATTCATATGTGTATATTTTTTCACAAAGCTGCAATAACACCACATACTCCGGTGAAAATCTGTCATATTTCGTACTCCGCACGTTCCGCCATCTCATTCTGTCCACCTTTATCCGATTCCGCGCATGCGCGCGACGGGACTTTAAGCTAAACGAAAGTGTCCGATCCTTGTAATATAAATCCGTGCATGTACGTAGGGATTGTAATGAAACTTCATACAAATGTTCACCACTATCAGAAGCCGGGTCTTGCGCATTAATCAGGCCTCTAGGTCAAAGGTCAATGTCACATTAAGAGGTCATAGAAAAACGCTTGTCAGGAGCAAAACTTGTACATGCATAAAGGATTTCAATATAACTTGGCACAAAAGTTCAATATTGTGAGGCAAAATTTCAAGGTCAAGGTCAAAGTTCAGATAAAAAAATCACTAAAGATGATAATATATCCAGATATTTTCGGAATATTGTCCAGAGAATATCTCCTTTATGCATTATATATTATCTATATAATGCCCACATTTCTGTCAAAAGCTTCTGTGATGGGCGTATATTGCGAAACTTCTTGAAAATTATACAGATAGAGTTCTACCCTGTATTAATTTAGTACAACTGCCAAACAGCTTCTGCTTGCATTGTGAGGAAGGTTAATACGGGGAAGTCAAAGTCCGGGCCCGCGAAGCGGACCCGGGCTTTGGCTTGCCCGGCTATAGACTACACGTGTATATTTAAAAGAAAATCAAATAAAAAACAATAAAAAAATTTATTGAATTCTATACCTATCAATGAAATTTTCAGTGTCAGTTCTAGTTAGGCGCCGCCATTTACAATGTAAGTCAATGATAAAAGGCGATGTATTCCGATAACGGAACAATTCTCAACTTTTCGGACTAATAATAATCGTCGAGTGTTCCGAGTGAAAACGGAAGTGGGTACATATAATACCGAATGACACATTTAAAACGGAAAAATGAAAGGATTTTTTCCCGACTTCCCCGTTCATAGGCTTTGCCTAATGGGAGAGTTTCTAGTTAATCCAGCAGAGTTATCTCTGCAGCGCCCTTGGCAAATAAGAGGTATACACCTGTATGCTGGCTATCTCTGTGTATAGCTGGTTTACATTGAATTTCAATGGGAAAATGCAGAGATCTAATTAATAAGCTAAAGTAAGCTGATTAACACTGCAGCCTTAGAAATGGTGAATTACTGTTGTGTTCCACTTTGTAATGGGTTTTGAGGGTTTCATTTTCCACAAGACAAAAGATTAAAGAATAAATGGAAAGTAGCAGTAAAGAAGGGTGTGCATGGTAATAAAATGAAGTTATGGCCACGCACATTTGCCATGCCAATGATGATCAAATTGTCATAATAAATAATAATAATAATCACCCCTTGATCATCAAGAACAAAATGACTATCCAGCACCCGTTTACTATATAAAATATATTTTACATAGTAATAGTAATTTTTTTGTTGCCTGTAGTCAGAGACAGGTGCATAGCATCAAAACTGATACATATGTGGAACGGGTAATAGGATTTGCAAAGCAATTGAAAATTCTGAAATCAGAACTTAATTAAACAGGGGTCACATATTTTATACGTCTGTTTCATGATTCTAAATTGTTGACAAACTAGCTTGATTGTAGAAAATATTTAAGTGATTTGACATACTAGAATGGAATATCATGAATTATACAATACGTATTGATACTCATTATCAATAAAGACAGATATATAATGTGAAGATTTTATTATTTCAGACACACATTATCATGATTATGTCACGTTTTAATGCACATACAAGTACATCTTGCCTTTATACATGTAATAAAGTATGTAAAACTGAGCTAATGGCCCAGTAGCAGAATGGGTTCTCCCTTAAAGTCTAAATTTCTGTCATACGTCTCCAATCTGATAAAAATTATATAACTAGATGCATTTTATTTACTAAAGAACAAATTTGAAGCAATAAACTCTATATGATTATATTTATTTGAAACATCATAAATTTACAAATATACAAAAATAGATTATATCAAACATATTGTATAATTCACTTTAATTATTTCTACGTAAATAAAATGTATATAAAGGCATTATATTTTAAAAAGTTTTAACAGGAAAGTGTTGATTATTTATCCAAGATCATTTTCATACTGTTATTCAGTACATTGTACAGTTGAAAAATAAAGCAGTTTACCGGTATATGTTTAAGATTTAATGTAATATATTCAATTTGTTAAATATAATTACCTTAATATTAAATGATAAAATCTTCATTTATTTCTGCTGCTGAAGCCCCTTTGGTAATTAATTATTTCTTTAATTTAACAACTGACCAGTCAAAATACTCTGAAACTTTCTATTAATCTCTGTGTTTACATCAAGTGGCCGTAGTTTGTATACCTCTTATTTACTACTTCCGCTTATCAGTAGCGTGTGGGAAACTCCCCCATTTCATATTATATATTGCTAGGTATCGTGAATAGTGTAAAAGCAGAAATTATACATTGTATTATGGTATCTGTATAATTTCCATTTAGTTTCTCTACATAGAGCTAGGAAAAACATTTTTTGTCCCAGCATCAAGACATATAATTTTGCAAAAACACTTGCTGGTCAAAGATAAATTCTTGGCGGAATTTCATTCTGAAAGTCAGAATCTCTTATGCATATGGAAAAGTAAATTGTAACGTCCGACCGTAAGAAATAGGATCGTCTGACCAACAAGCGTTTAACAACATGGATAAAAAAAATTATTTAAGTTTTTATTAATATTCCGTGAAGAATAAATAAGACTTAAAAGTTAACGTCAGGTGATTATGCTTGGAACAAAATAGAAAGTTGTTAATTTGCAAGTTAATACTTCCATAAATTATGAACACATACTGTTAAATTTGGTTTTGTAATAGATTTTCGCGACTAACATTTGTTACGGTCACATGCTGCTATTGATTTTCAGTTAAGAAGCAAAATATTTTTATGAATGGAACAATTTGGAAATAAGAAAAAAAAACATGTTGGTCCAGATCTACATCAACTGGTTCATAAATTTTGAGAAAAAATAGCAAATTGTTAATTCAAGCCCTTTATTGTAAAAAAATAAAAATAAAAAAAACACTGTGGGGTCCCATCAGAACTTTAATAATCTTTTTCTTCACTTACTGTTTTGTTTTATTTAAACAAGACTTATGATTTTGGCTAGCTATAGAGACTTCAGCAAACAGGGTTAATAGTATATTGCTAAAGTATTTACTGTCGCACAATGTCAAAGATAAAACAGGCACATTTAAAATTAATGAAGCCAGAACTGGACATGTTTATTTGAGCATTTCAACATTATAATTAACTGATTAATAGTTTATTTTTATTTTATGAATTTTTCTTTTTATTTGTGATCAAGTTTTCTTTTTAAGTGAAATACTGTTTTTTTTTTTACCCAAAAAAGTCGTTATCTATTTCTGATAATATGAAATTAGGCAAAGCCTATGAACAGGGAAGTCGGTAAAAAATCCTTTCATTTTTCCGTTTTAAAGGTGTCATTCGGTATTATATGTACCCACTTCCGTTTTCACTCGGAACACTCGACGATTATTATTAATCCGAAAAGTTGAGATTTGTTACGTTATCGGAATACACCGCCTTTTATCATTGAGTTACATTGTAAATGGCGGCGCCTATCTAGAACTGACACTGAAAATTTCATTGATAGGTATAGAACTATATATATTTTTTAATTGTTTTTTATTTGAATTTTCTTTTAAATATACACATGTAGTCTATAGCCGGGCAAGCCAAAGCCCGGGCCCGCAAAGCGGGCCCGGACTTTGACTTCCCCGTATCAAAAGATTACCATTTTCATAAGAAATCAGGTTGAGAAAATGATAAGTCACTGCAAGTTTTTATCCCTTTCAGAACTTCAGACACTGCTGAAAATATTCTCAGTCTGTCATCATGAATACTATGTGGAAACATTTGATGAACCCAAAAAGTGGAATTCTAGAAAGACCTTTGACGTATACATATTTGAAATCATGTAGAAGATTTCAGCATCTGACAATTGGCAGAAAGTTTAGTCAGAGGTACAAGGGAAAATGTTGTCAAAGAGAGGCAATGATGGTAAAGTCTAGAATTTGTTTAATGAGCATGGAGAAATGTCTTTTAAACAGAGAAAGTCATTGTTGGCAAAAGTCCAACTACTTGTTAAAGACAGAGAAACACTTAACAGAACAACCAATGCTTCCTAATGATCATTTTTCACGGAAGCAGAATTATAGCTCGTCTATATTTGTGAGTGACAGACACTCCGATATCTCGTCTGCTTTCAATTATGACCTTGACCTTGAGGAGAAATTGGTTAACATTGAGCTGCTGAAGGTAAACCTACATAGGAGAGGGCTGGACATTAATATTGATCAGTTGGTAAGAAGTATTGCAAAGTTAATAGTCCTTTACATAACTTAGGGTATATTTAATAGATGGATTTTTTTATTTTATAAATGATCAATTTAAAATGTAACTATTACTCATAAAATATGATGATGTTAACATGTTTAACTTGCCCATTTATTTATTTATTTTCTAATTGTTGAACTATAAATTGCATTCTATCATTCACAAAAGATAATTTTTATGAGCAGTTTTTTTTATCCAAACCTAATTGACAATGTTTGCAAATTTCACATGTGCACCAAGATTAAATGTCGAAGTTAATTATTGTTCTGTGATACAATTATTTGGGCATTCTCAAAGCATTGCTTTTCTTTTTGTAAAAAATTGGAAATACTAATGATTCATTTTGAACACTAGGAAGAGAAGTATACCATTCCAGATACTAGAAGGTTTTATCATGTTTTTGTTGCTATAGGAAAAAGACTATGCAGAATATCTTCAACTTGGAGAAGAGAAAGTGAAGCTTGAGTTGAAAAGAGAAAATATTGCCAGCCAAATAGCTAAAATAGTTGGTGAACAAAAACAGAGTGGAACAAAGGTTACAGAGTTTAGTGTGTTAAGTTATTTGTATTTTAAATTCCTGGTATGATGTTACAAAAAAATGTTTTAAGTGAAAGAAATGACTAACTTCAGGAGATTGTAACAAAGAGTTCTTTTAACAATTTTTTTTCACAAATTTAATCTCTTATGTAGAATCCACATGTACATAATTATTATCTGGTTTCAATCAAGCACAAAATGCAGTTGTATATGTACATGTATATAAAGAATATCCAAAATTATAAATGTAAAATTTCAGACAAAGGATCAGACTTCACAAATGAAGTGTCTCAAAGAAGAAGGAAAGATTACCAAATCTCACTTAAAACAGCTTATGGTAAGTAGAATCTGGCAGTATTTTTTCTTCTTATTTTTTGGTTGAGTTAAACATGGCACCAATACAGTATAGGTCTTTTAGCGACTTCCTAGCTTTACTTGTGGAGGAAAACCTCAGGTGCCCCTTTGTACATCATTTCAGGCACAAACAGGCACCGGTGCCCCATAAGCTAGCTGGATAGCTCTCTCACATGAAGTATCAAGAGATGCTGGAGTGGCTCGAACCTACAGCAGTGATAATTTATTAATAGCTAATATTACCTGTAAATGTGAGATAAAGTTGATTATCAATACAAGTATTATAAAATAAACTTGATTATTTATTTATAGCTATTGATGAATGAAGTAATTTGATTATTCATTAATATAGATATTGAGAAATGAGCTAAAAGTAATTATTTACTACTAGCTATTGTTAAATTCAGATGAAGTTTTTTTATTTCTTTGTAACTTTTGTAAAATGAAATAAAGTTGATTATTTATTACTAACTGTTGCTAAATGAGGTAAAGCCTACCATAATACAATAAATTTTGCAGGTAAAATACTGGGATGTGGAGGAGAGAGTCATGTTACTTGCATTGTCCTTACCCAGCAATCTTTCTACAGATGTTGTAAGTATATTGTCCTGAATTCTTTACTGTGTTATTTACTTCACTATTTAAGTTAGGTAATTTGTTTTATAAAAAGGCATTCAATACATTTATTAAAAACTGGACTTAAAGGGAATAGAGGCTTTTTTATGTAGGTTAATTGTGATGAATATATTGTATAGTGAATTTTAGACATTAGTTTTATGGTTCATGATTCGACGTAAGTGCTAGTGATCTCGTATTTAACTATACGAGGGGTGATCCAAAAATTCGTGGACAATGTGTGTATCTCCATAACGTGACGTCCTACCGAGGTGAACTCTTTGGATATTATTAATCAATGCTTTTTTAATAAATTGACCAAATTTTAAAACACAAATTGCATTTTTTATCTATATATGACAACATAAAAACATTAAGTATCAAAATCGCGGCGCAGCTTACTTTTTCTCTGTGATGTAAACGTTTTAATCTCATTTATACACATGTAAAACCTGTGCAAACAAAGAAAATTGCGGAAACGTTATAATAACGTTGTTTTTATACGTTGTTATGACGGCATTCTGTCAGTATTAGAAGACATTTTGAAGTTGCGGTTATTTTACGCTCGTGCTTTAAAGGACAGGTGCTAAAAACAGCTTTATCAAAAATGGACGTCACATATCCAGCAAAACTTTGAACAGTTATACAGTTCTGATGAAATCTTGGAAAGACGCCTGGCGAGACAAAAACAATGATCGAAAGTGTGACAAATAAACCGTCAGTGTGTCGTTCTCTAGTTCTTGAGTAGAAGTACTAAGTCATTCACCATATTCGCCTGATCTTTCCCCGTGTGACCTCGCCTTGTTTCCCAGGTTAAAGAAAGAGTTGAGAGGGAAACGTTTTCACAATCTGAACGAGTTGAGAGGAGCCACCCAATGCATACTGTCATCATTCATCCAAGAATGGTATGCGAGTACATTTAGAGACTCGGTCAGCCGCTATGAAAAATGTGTGCGGGTTAAAGGGGAATACTTTGAAAAGTTATAAGGCAAAACGGTAACATAGATTACTTCCTATGATAGCATAACGTCGTTTGTGACGTCGTGAGCTGCGCCTCGTTTTGTCATGTCTATGTATATAAACTGGTGCAAAATCGCTATTTATTGTACAATCTTTACAATATTTTGAGAATTTGTCGACATATGCTCACTTAATAAGATACTAGAATTTCATATGATTTGCTTTATTACTTTTTGTTTTATGCAGCGTGTTCACGATTTTTTGGATCACCCCTCGTATTATCATAGGTTTAAATCATATTGAAATTGCATATATAACGACTGATTAATAGTTAACCTTTGAATGCTAGAAACAATAAAATAAATGGACCTATATCACCATTATGCATCCTCGCTAACCGAGGCTTACTTGTTACATATACACTTCATTCATGTTGAATGTAGTTCAGGGGAATCAGTACCCATGGTTTCCGATGATGCCAATATGAAGCTTGTTCATCTATCCGACCTTGCTCTCTACTTTTGTATTTTAAATACTACATGTAGTATTTTGATATCAAAATCTTGTGTTAACAAATGAACTGTTTAAAAATTTCAAGGCCGGGCAGATCAGTTACACACATTTTGCAGAGTAAAGGTCAAATCAGTGTGTGTCCTGTAATATTTGACAGATGCTGATAATTTTAGACATAGTCACACTATTTTCTAGGAGACATAAAGTATATCGCTGCATGTTACTAAATAAAGAATTATTATCATTGCTACAAAGATTTAAAATATTTTCCATTTTCCAGCCAGACGACTTAAAAGTTCTACAGGAACATTTTGAAGGTAAAGTCAGTAGTTGTTTGTTAACTTAAATAGGTTTACCTTTTCCAATTAAAACAGCATGCCTCCAGATGAGTCAAAATATATTTAAAAAAAAATAAATGAGAGAATTATATTGAGGTCTTATGAAGGTAAAAAGATTCAAGATTAAATTAATGATTTACATGTTATGTGCAATTAAAGACTGATTTTGTTGTACCTTCCTCACCTTACCTTAGCCTTACCTTACTTTACATGTACCTTACCTTACCCTTACTTTATCTAACCCTGCCCTTACCTTACCCTTACTTTATCTTATTTACCCTTACTTTACCTAACCCTAACCTTACCTTTATCTTACCCTTACCTTACCTACCCTTACCTTACCCTTACTTTACCTTATCTTACCTTACCTTACTCTCACCTTACCATCCCATACCTTACATTTACCTTACTTTACCATACCTTACCCTTACTTTACCTTACCTTACTTTATATTGCCATGAATTTGAATCTCTGACTTTATGCGCTAAAGATTGCATTGGTATTTAAGAATGGTACACAGAAGTTGTAATGATATTGTATATAATATATATATAATATATTTCAGAGAAAAAGCCTACATTACCATTAGATCATGAGGAAGTGTTGAGACAATCAGATATGGTCAGATTAAGGTATGTTTGATTTGCTATTTCTTAGTGAAAATAACGTGTTTTAAGCATATGGTAAGTTTTTATTAACTTGATAAAAGTTTGAGTGGTGATCATAACAAAACTATTTTGCCAGTTTTAGAGGCAAGTCAGCCTGCAAAATTGTGAAGTCTTATCAGACTGTGGACCACTGGGTGCTGTGCGCCTTGTTTTTCAAGTTGACAAAAGTCTGAATCAAGTGGTATATTTTCATTCAAGATATATAGTGCTCAAATTTGATATTTTAAAATACTGATAATAGCTATATAGTCTCTTTTAAATGTAAAATAAACCTCTTTTGAGTTTATGCAGAGAAGATTTGTTAACATTTTAAACTCAACACATTACAGTATAGGAAAACACAGTATGAATTCATAGTGTCCGTAAAAATCTGTCACTTTTTGAAAAAAATTTAAAAGCAAGGATGAAATCAACTTGACCAGTACATGTAATTGAGAATGCAGCTTCCAAAACATAGTTTGTGTTTTTATACTTACCTATTGACCTATTGAAAAGTTGAAACAAGCTGGCCCGCATAGCTCAATTGGTTAGATTGCCAGACTTGTAATCTCGACATTGTGGGTTTGATTCCTGGACTGGCCAACTTAAATTACTAAACAGTCTTTCTAGGCACTAAAGAACCAGGAGAAGCTTCTTGAATTGGGGCATCTCTCGGTATCTGTATCTTGCACTATTCTCCAAAATCTAAAAAGACTAATACTCTTCGGGTGGCAACCGGTGGTAAGGATAAATGAATTCAAATACATACACACTTGAAACAATAGCTTTATTGGTCAAATTTTAAAATAACATCATGTCTGGAGTAAAAGTTTTATTATCATAAGTCTATGAATAAAGAATTTCTTATACTTCCTTCTATTGTTTTGATATTATTGAAAAACTTTCAATATTATAGATGCAGTTGTAACTTTATGTTTGTTATATATATATATATATCTGTTATATGTTTCAGGAATGTTGGACACAAGGCTTACTACCTGACTGGCAGGCTAGCTGTGTTAGAACAAGAACTGGTCACCTACTTCTCTACACAACTCCGATCTCAACACATACACCAGATGGCAGCACCAGAAATGTTTAAAGCTCCTGTTGTGGTAGGTTTGATTTGTATACACACATCAAAGAAGTGTTGTTTTTTTTTTGTACATTACGTATTTGTTTCTCAGATATGATCAGTTTGTGTAAGAATTAGCGATTTGACATGATATTGAGGTCATGATATAATTCCATACTTCCATTAAAAGTGTTACACAATAGATCTACCAATTTAAGTTTAAGCATTGTTATATAAGATAAGTTTGATTCTAAGCATTCTCAAGTCATTTTCTTGAATAAACAGGCTCCAAGGTTATAAAAAATAATAGTATGTAGAAAAAAATGACATTATGGCATCGTTAAAAGGTATCCTACCTGACTGTATTGAAAAATTATTCATTATTAAACTTTGATCCTGTTTTATTTGTTAGTTTGTCATTTTTGTGTCGCCTTGAAAAGGTGACATATAGGGGTTACTTTTGTCGGCGGTGTCGGCGGCGTCTGTGTCGGCGGCGTCGTCGGCGTCCGCTAAAGCTTGTCCGGAGCATAACTCAGTCACTATAAGTCTGATTTGACTTGGTATGCATGCTTCTTTCAATAACCCGCAGTGCAGTGCACAAGGACCGGTACTCTGCAGTTCTTATTTTTTGAGTTATTGCCCTTTGTTCATTTTCATACTTTAGTTTTGTCCGGGCCATTTCTCTTCAACTAAAAAAGCTATGGACTTGAAACTTCATAGGATGATAGATCTCATTAAGAAGAAATGCAGTGCACAAGAACCAGTACTCTGCACTTCCTAATTTTAGAGTTATTGCCCTTTGTTAATTTTCATACTTTATTTTTGTCCGGGCCATTTCTCCTAATGTATAAAAGCCATGGACTTGAAACTTCATAGGATGATAAGTCTCATTAAGAAGAAGTGCAGTGCACAAGAACTGGTACTCTGCATTTCTTATTTTTTGAGTTATTGCCCTTCGTTTATTTTCATACTTAATTTTTGTCCAGGCCATTTCTCTGAAAGTATAAAAATATGGACTTGAAACTTCATAGGATGATAGATCTCATTAAAAAGAAGTGCAGTGCATAAGAACTGATACTCAGCATTTCTTATTTTTGAGTTATTGCCCTTTGTTGCTTTTCTTACTTTATTTTTGTCCTGGTCATTTTTCCTCAAGTATGAAAGCTATGGACTTGAAACATCATAGAATGATAGATCTTATTGATAAGAAGTGCAGTGTACAGAAACTGCTGCTCTGCACTTATTATTTTTTTAGTTATTGCCCTTTGTTATTTTTCATATTTCATTTTTAGCTCGACTTTTCTATGAAAAGGGGAGCTATCCTACTCGCCCCGGCGTCGGCGTCGGCGTCGGCGTTAGCGTTGGCGTCACACCTTGGTTAAGTTTTTCGTACCACCCCACTTTATTTCAGAAGTATTACAAGTATGGCTTTGAAACTTACCATACTTGTTCACCATCATAACCTCCATCTACAGACAAGAGTACATAACTCTGTCAAGGTTTTTGACAGAATTATGGCCCTTTTTTGACTTAGAAAGTGTATTGAGCTTGGTTAAGTTTTTTGTACCACCTCACTTTATTTCAAAACCATTGGAGGTATTGCTTTGAAACTGACCATACTTGTTTACCATCACGACCTTCATCAACAGACAAGAGGACATAACTCTGTCAAGGTTTTTGACAGAATTATGCCCCTTTTTGACTTAGAAAATACATTGAATATGGGTAAAATCCACTTATTGCCTTAACCCTTTGAGATATTGCTTTGAAACTTTTAATGCTATTTCACATCATTACCCCCATCTGTACGCAAGAGAAGGTAACTCTGTCAAGGATTTGTTTTAAAAATTAAGGCCTTTTATCGACTTAGAATCTTGGTTAAGTTTTTAGTACCAGTCCACTTTTTGACTGAACTGTTTGAGATATTAATTTGAAAGTTGGAATACTTGTTTACCATCATGGTCCCAAAACATGGGCAGGAGAAGGTAATTCTGTTAAGGATTTTATTTGAATTATGGCCCTTTTTGACTTAGAAACTCAGTTAAGATTTTCATTCTTGTCCACTTGTTGACTTAACCATTTGAGATATTACTTTGGAAGTTGGAGTTCTTATGTGCCATCATGAGACCTATTTGTAAGCAAGAGAAGATAACTCTGTGAAAATGTTTCTTGATTTGTACTTAGAAATTCCTAGTTAAAGTCTTGTGTGCCCTTAACTGTCAAAGTTTTGTTTTATAGGCAAGCACTAAAAAAGTCGAGCGCGCTGTCCTTCTGACAGCTCTTGTTGTCCTGGCCATTTCCCCTAAACTACATTGTTCACAAGGCGACACATCCGCCTCGCTGAGTTCTAGTTTATCATAAGAGTTATAATTTGTTCACCAATAGTATGTCACTTTCAATTGTAGAAAAACTATACTAATAGTGAATTAATGGCATATTTGCTTGTTTTATGCAGGAATCTGGCGGCATAAATGTGATGGACCCGTCTTCTGTTTACAGACTGCAGCATAAACTGGGAACCAGTGAAATGTCAGACCGGCACACTGATCACATGTTTCTACATGGAACTTCACACCTCTCTTTTCTATGTAAGTGCTGGAAGCATATGACTGTGAATATTTTTATGAGATATGTACAGAAAACTTAGGTTTTTATAGAAAATTTCTTAGGTTTTTATAGAAAATTATATGTGTATCTAGGAATATTTTATCTAATTTACAACTTTCATTACATAAACAAAAATGAACAAAGCAGAAAAGATGTATTCGAATGTAGTCCATATGATTTACTTGAAGTTATTATATTTTTTAACATGTGTATATTATAAAATTAAGAAGTGATATATTATACAAGTGAAAGTGTCAGCATAAGAACTTATATTAGCATTTCTTGGATTTTGCTTGATGGGATTGCACTTAATGATTTAATGACTTGGCCTATTAAAGTCGGATCCAAGTGTCAGATGAAGATTCTCTTATAATAACCTTCTTTGTCTTAGTAACAGTCAAGATTGTGAAATAATAATAGTAGTCCTTTAAAACAGATGTAAAATGAATATTTAGGATTATATTATATCAGTATCTGTCCACTTTGCAGCTTATTTTGCTAGAATGGAGCTTTCTTGTGAAGATTTACCTATACAAATGTTTGCTGTTGGAAGGAACTACATACCAGGTAGGTTAGAATTTGATTTACTATTCCTTTTTATGTGCTTCAAGTGCTTCTACAATTAAAGAGAATATTTGTCTGTTTGGAGTGAATATGCTATACAGTCAAGACTGTCATATGTGACTTTCCAAGGGACCCTCAGAAAAAGGTCACATATGACAGGGAGTCTCTTATACAGTCTCAAAGAAAATTAAAATACATAACTGTGTGAAGGAATAATATGTACATTGTAACCAATTGTAAATAAACATAGGTTCTTTAAATACTTGATGTAAATAAAATGAGAATCCCTGTAAAACATTATAATTAATTGCATGTATATCATATAAAAATAAATTTTATTTTTATATTAGATTTATATTGAATCATTTTAGTACAAATAAACTTGAATCTGATGCATTCAAAATCCTTAAAATAAATATCATACTTTAAGACATATTCATATCCAAAGTTTTTTCTCTTTTTAATGGAAGGTAGATCTATCAACATTTTCACATAGAATTCATGTAGCAATAGAATGGTGAAATAAAAAAATGCTGCCTAAAAAAATCTTCCGCTGGCATTACATAAACAGTAAAAAAAATCTGACACAAAATCGTAATCCAGTTTGATCAGGTTATTATGTACTTCACACCTCAATTTGTTAACACACATCGATTGCATTATGCTTACCATACTGTATACTACTCACTTGATACCTGTATGTACATGTAAACTGTGTATTGATGCAATGTTGTGTAGAGGTTGTTTAAAATGTACTGACTACTGGATAATATTGGACTTAATTATTTTGGCCCTCTGGGTGTTAAACCAGGTATTATTTATCTGATGAACGGACGATTAAAAGGTGTGAAAGTCGTTTAAATCAGACAAAGCAATGCATTGGGACCAGACAATTAGGGTCGCTTGTCACATATGACAGGGAGTCGTATAATTCAGACCATTTATATAGGAAAATACGTTGGGAGGACTGAAACAAGGTCTGATAAGACAGGGAGTCGTTGAAATCAGGGGGTCACTAAGGCAGTCTTGACTGTATATAACACTGAGAAATGAAAATGACTTTTTTTTCTCATTTCTATGTGAGGTAAATCGCATATTTTGGAAAAACTATTTCTTTTATACATGTATTTTATATTTAGTAAAAAAAAAAACAGCAATTTTCATTGAAACTAGGAAACAAACACAAATACAGATTGCTTACGTCATTCAACAGAGTGAAAACTGTGCAAACCAAGTTTATAGTCTTTATTGTAGAATAACTTTCATCTATTGTAGTAAAGTTATTGTATTTGAATTGAGAAATTTGTGCTAAAAACAAAATTCATCCATTCTTTATATGTAAATTAACAAATTTATGGAAACATATCAATTAATATATATGCAGCCTTATGTCATCAAGGAAGTTCATCAATGCTTTATCACCTACACTATGAGTGATATATTCTGAGAGATATGGATTTTATTTCATGGATAAAACTTTGTACTTCACTTGTTGGCATACAATAATTTTTGTATATATTATGTAATTGCAGAGAATGTAGAAAGGAAAAGTTTACCAGGTTTATATGGGGTGTTACAGTCAATCAAGGTGTGTATGTGTGCTGTGTGTAAATCCAGGGAGTCTAGTGCAGAGGTTGTGGAACAATTCACAAATCTGTTAACGAAGCTATATCAACAATTTAAAGTACCTTTCAGGTATATATTATCTTAATAGTTGTTTGAGTACCTATTGCATTCTTCGTGGCCTCCTTGACAGAGTGGTCAAAGTTGCTGACTTCAAATTACTTGCTGGTCACTGCTGGGGGTTCAAATCAAGAACTTTAGATTATTTCATGTGAGAAAGCTATCCAGCTAGGCATGGAAAGTTGGTGGTTCTACTCAGGTGCCCACTTGGGCCTGAAGGGGCCCCTGAGGTCTCTTATGATTGTTTTGATTTAACAATATTTTCATGTGAAAATTTACTAGATTATTAACAATCAAAGGCTGATCCA